TATAGGTGCTTATTTTTTAACTGAAATGTGGCTATGAACCCAGGACGGTTATTCTACGCTACGAGAGTCGACAGCAAGTTGTGGGCCGCCAGATGTCGCTGCTAGTAAAAAACAGGTCTGCCCGACATCCTATATTCTCTGAGTACGGAAGTTGTCGAAAGCGCGTGAAAAAGTGTTGCCGCGTCGTCAATCAGGGTTGTGCAGTTGACGTACTAAGTAGACAATGGCTTTGTATGTGTTTTCGCTGCTGATTTTTTCATATTTAAACGAAGAATACGGTCGTAGATCTCTGAATCGGTGGCGAATTTATAGAAAATATATTGATGCTTTTGCTCTGCCAAAAGATGTTTTCATTGCGTATTTCAGATTGCCAAAATTTATAGTTATTTTAATTTGCGATGAACTGAGAGAGTATTTGGAGCCACATTCAGAAAACAAGAACGCAATTTCTACTGAAAGAAAGGTTATACTATTCCTGAAATTATAGATATAAATTGTAATTGTATGATTTAAAAATGAGAAGAGAATAAGTTTATCAAGCACATAAACCTTCTTCATTTAATACAAATATAGAGTTGCGATAAGCTTCTACTCGATTTATGTACAGCAAGAATTACGTTTACTTTAAAATCTAACAGTTGAATACCTCTAAGGGATTCTAATAATTCCTCTAAATAATTCTAAGGGAAACTGGCTCGTATACATACACATGTGGAAAGCCATGAAAACAAATAATACTGTGAACACAGAAAGAAATGTCGTTCATTATTACGCGAAATTCACACTACTGTAAAATAAAAAAATTTTTAAAAAATTATAGAACTATAAAATAGCTTTATAATATCTTTTTCAGTAGCTGTACTACTACTAGTGTGATACTTTCAAAAATAAGTTTTAGCCCAGAGGGGCTATTAATTTCGTTTTGCCATTTTGTGGCGTTTCACTTTTCAAATCGTTGCCACCAAGTATTATCGCACTCTATTATATTTAAAGAAATTAAATAATGAGGAATCTGCAGAATGTATGAATGTTTCTCGCACTGTGATAAAACAACGCTACCTAGAGCCATGAAATTCTGAATAACGTAATCCTCCATCCTAATATAGGCATCTGGAGGCCCAAATTTGGAACTGAGAATTTGTTTTATTATCTATTTCATATTTTGTAAAGCATTTATGAGTTTTTGATTAAGAAACCCAACGATTTCAAAGCGAGCAATGGCAACATTGTACAGAAAAAAAACATTTTCATCTCTAGCGCGGGAGACTATGTATCGGAAATTCTAAAGATATGCTTTTTTTAAATTATATGATATTGCTGTTGAATTGAATTTTATGGTTTAAGTGCGAAAAACATGATATTTAATAAACAAAGATAATACGCAAAACGTTAAATAATGGCCCTTTGGAAGTAATATAAAATCTGAAGGCTTTCAGATTTATTTATTTATTTATTATTATTTTTTGTGTGTGTGTGTTGTTTGTGTGTAATTTTATTACGTTTTAAAACTGGTTTCTAAGTGAGGACTTTCTAAGGGAAACTGGCTCGTATACAAGTTACACATGTGGAAAGCCATGAAAACGCCGGCCAGATCGTTCCCGGGATTCAAACCTCGGAACAAACTACCTGCGTTCAGCGACTCTACCGCTCGGCGGCTGGTGGGCTTGTTAGTAGAATTATACTGCATTATTATTGTATTATGCTATAAAGTAACAATGCTATAAGACTGAGGGTTTGTTCATGGAATTTTTTTTTTGTTCAACTTTATAGTATTAATAGTACTTTGTAACCTATTATAGTATTAAAACATCATTGTTTCTTTGCAAATTTAACAAAAAGAATACTGTTCATAGCATTCTCATTTTTATATTGTAAAAGAGATATTGATTATTATTAGTTTTCTATTTAAAATGTGTCGAAACGCTGGTTTGACAAGGACTTCAACTGCAGGACACCTACACTGATTATTTTTACTTTAGTTCTTGCACAGTGAAAATATTACTATTTTTTAATTATTTTCACAGAATAAAATCTTTTGAGAAGGAAGAATATTTAAACTGAGCAGTTCTTATATATATATAAAAAAAATTCAAATAACAGCAATGTAATATAAAAAAAAAGGTATTAGTAATTGTGTGACAAAATTGCAAAACGAATTAATCACACATACAGGATAGATTAGTTTAATTTTGGTTATATATTTTATATTGAAAAAATATTTTCTTTCATGTTAATTATAGAATAAATTATTTAAAATAAAGCATTTTGATGCGTGTGATAGTTGAATGCAGCAGCAATCGGCCATACTGTAATAGCAAATGAATTTTATTTCTTTTCCTGAAAGAAATAATTTTCATAGTAAAAGAAAATAAAAATAGGGAAAAAATAGTAAGAAAGAAATATTTTCTTTCTAATTTCTTATTTAAAGAAATATTTTTCCAATAGTAACTGTAAAATAAATTGCGGGAAAACAGTTTTAATGTAAGCATGGGGGAAAAAAAATTAGTTTGCTATTAGATTGTAATGCAAATTAATCATATTATAAATTTAAATGATTAAAATTGTTTATTTCTAAAAGGATTTGAAGTAAGCTTAATTCATTTACTTTTATCTATTTACCATTGCTTTCGTGGTATCCCATATCACTCTTTATTTCTTAGCTCTAAATTCCTGCGTTAAGTTTCCCCTTAAAAAACGGAATTTTCCTTCACATAACACAGCAGCGTGTTGGTCATAATACTGTTTTGTGCAATTTTTTTCGAACTACAAATGCAGCGTGTGAGTTAGTGAAATAATGGGAGAATATTCCTAGAACTTCAGCCAGCGCGCGTTATAAATTTCGTCACTTGTCTGTACTGCGATTGGTCTAAAGCTCCTTGAAGCCTTGTCCCCTTTCAGTAAAGTGAAATGGACCCACCCGCCCACCAACTGAAGACCACAGAATGGCTTTCTCCGATAAGTTGTTGATGGCTGTCCATACCGGTTTTTTTGAGTCAATATTGTTCGCTTAAGTTGTAGACAGATCCAGTGATCATAGAATAGGCGTCCTGGTTCAGAAACAGGTTGTTTTATTTACTTCTTTCATTGCACCCTGATGACAATACAGCAAAAGATATAAATTTCATTTTTGTTTTCGGCATGTTTTGCCCCCTATTTCTTGCAGTTTACGACTGTGCTTCTGTGTTTTTTATGTGAATTATTCTGAGTTGTGTTGAGTTTTAGATGTATTTTTTAAAATTTTATTTTGCATTATTATTATCACTTGCTATTGCTATCAGCATGCAACTGGATTAGGTTTTGAACTGCTTTGTATTTATTCATAAATATGTAAATACAGTCAAAAGTCGTTAATCCGGACTCGTAGGGACTTCGGCGATTCCGGATTATCGATTTTTCCGGATTATAGATCATCAGTTTAAATCTGGTAAAATGGCATGCAGAAATTATAAAATTAAAAATATGAAACCGTAATTTACGAAATAAAGAACAATTATGATCTAAAGGGTATCAAAATTTACAAAAAAAAAAAAAGCTTAATATTTATTTGTTTACTTTATTAAACATTTCTTTCAATGTAAGTTGTTTAAGTTGCTTCGTTTTTTATGTGATAATACATTCTCTTTAATTCTATAAACAGACATAATTTCGTGTTCAGTTACAAAGTTCCGCTGTTCAAGTCCTATAATTGCTGTGTGGAATACCGACTAATTTGTCAATCGAAATTTTTTCGTTTTCAATAACCTCTGTCACTTTCTTTGCTATCTGAAGCGAATTATAATGACGAGGCATTTGATTTAAATCATATCAAAGACAGAGTACATTGAGATGAAATACTACATTGAGTAAGCAATTATAAGCCAAATAAAATAAAAACATCTGCCCTTAAGATAAGGATAGTGCTGACAGATCAACTTCCAATTCATTGCACACCGCTGCCGCGTTCAAGATAAACAATGTTTAGATAAACAAATGTTAAAGTTTACATAAACAAACGTTAAAGTTTAGATAAACATCCATTTTTTGCAGCAATTCCACTTTTTGTTTAATGGACTCCGAAAGATACTTTTGCTTTGTATATCCTTTACATATTAGTAAATATATATCGGAAATTCTATTTGACATAATCGAAAGTTCAAGCTTACTTTTATCAAATTGCTCTAACAGTCTGCAAAAAATAATAATCCGGATCCAATTCGAAGATTAAGGAACAACGCAATCTGCAACATTGACTGAAATAGATAATTAGATAATTTTAGCTTAGCTTATCCCGTCCGTTATACATTAAACGCGCATTCGTAAATGTATTTTGCGCACACGCAAATTCGCAGCGGTAAAAGTCTTCGCTGCGCAGAAAGTTTGTAGCTTTGAGGTCCGGATTATGGGTGTCCGAATTAACGACTTTTGACTGTATAATAAAAAGCTGCTTTTCCCTGGATGCACAAGTTTGTAAACTAAATCTTGAAAATATCATTGCAGCTTGCCCATTCTGCCACCAGAAACCTATATAAGCACAAAACTATAAATGTTCATTAGGAATTTTAACCTTTCAGCCATTGAGTGCTTTTAACTAATATTTAATGTTCCATTTTTCTTTGTTTTTCTTTCAATGATGATCAAATCAAAGACATTAACAAAGTCCTAGTTTACTGCTAATAACCATCTGGAGCAATATTTCTTCATAACTTATTATTTAAAGTAGATGTTGAACTTTTATGTACTTTTAAATTAGGCAAACTTAACATTTTCCCATTGAAGAATTTTAATATATTAAACCAAGATGCTTATAAAATATTATTACATTTGTGAACTTGAGGTTAAAATTATAAACAAAAAAAAAATTGTGTCTGTTACTTCAAAATAAAATTTGGTAACTGTCTTTACAGGCTTTGAAAAGCTTTATATGAATTTCATCTTCATTTGCCAACAAATGAAAATTTATGTTTCAAATGAATTCATTGTATATGATGATTTCAACATATTTTAAAATACAGAATACATAATTATCTAATTCACATGAACTATTTATTGCACTGTAACAAATGTATGTATTACTGCTATTTTAAATGAAATTTTCAGTACTCAAATTTTGCTATACAGTAATAAGGCCTTCTTCTTTGAAGCACTGCAACTGTAACCATATTTGATTTTTAAATGCTCTCAGAAGTTCATTCACTAACCTAAAATAAAGAAATTTAATTATGAAATAAACACAAAATTTCATATCAAAGATAAAATGACCCAAAATTAATGGAAAAGATTCATTTTATTATACACCAAATCAACTCAAGGTGTAACACATAAATTTAATTACTGCAGTTATGATCTACACTAATATTAAAAAAATTAGGAAACATTACAGCCATTTGATAATTTAAGCTTTCTAAATTTTAGCGTTTCTTATATTAAGTGCTGATTTATCCTAATGGGTAGCATAATTCTAATATAGATGTAAAATGCCTGGAATTATTTGTAAAATATTTTGCTTGCGTATTTTAATAATTACATATCAAAAGAGATAGGTGATATTTACATAAGATAATGTTTACAAGGTTTACTTCTGTAAATAGACATATGTCTAAGATATGCTGTCCGAAAGACACCAAACTCTGAAATTAGAGTGCTACTCAGCTGTATTTGTATATTGTGTAGCATTAACACTGATCTCACAGCTGCTCTTTTCTCAAGAACAGCACATCATTTTGTTACTTTTTTGTGAACAGAAGAGTGAACCAATATTTTGTGTGTTCAGCAATTATTTATATTTTGAAAGGATCTTGAAGTGCAATGTGTTTGTATGAAGTTTTGCATAAAACTGGCATTATTAAACATTTACTTCAATGAAAATATCAGACTTACTCTGCATCTTTGGGATTTGGAAATGGCTTTAATTTCCCACGGCACATCATGAAGTATTTACTGAAATAATACACAATGATATAATTAGCTAGAGCATAAAACATTTTTAAAAATGTATATTTTTACTTTCAAAATATTCCATTTTGCATATGCAACCTTCTTTTCCTGTACATACACACGCATGTGCATTTTAATAAAGTTTTAAAACCATTCATTCATTTGAAGAGTTTTTTTTCAGTGTTGTCTATAAATGGTTCGCTACAGTATTTTTGTATATTTTGGCTATTCTAATTAGCAGCATCATTCTAAACTTCTTTAATCTTAAGTTGCTGCTGAGAGATAAACTTTTTATGCTAATCAACATTCCTCATGCACACACACTCCATTCATATACTGAACTAATTTGAATGACGTTACTATATTTGCGCACTTTCATAAAGTTTTCATAATTTTTACAAAAACTCTTCTAGTTTTCAGAGCTTGAGTGTAAAATTCATTTTTTATTTAGGTGCCAAAATTGTGTTTGTTGGGCATTTTAAAGCATGTACTCTTGGCAAACATTAGGATTATCATCTGAATTCTTTGAGAAAATTCTTCTCTTTCTGAAATTTGAAGTTTTTTATAGTGCGCTGATAAAACTGGCAGTTTTAAAATATATTTGTCAACTAGAAGTTTGATATGGTGATATGCAAGTTTCATGGTAGTTGTTTTTAATATATTATCATTATATCATTGAAATAACAGTAACATATTAATATTATATTTTTGGGAAAAATATATTAAAATAAAACAATTTTATTTTCCTTTGTCATGTTTTCTGGTACCTTTAAATATCTTGATTTTAAAATTTAAACAAGAAAATAGCTAATAAACAAAGTTCCCAAATTACATTTTAACAAAACAAAGAAAACAAAATCCGAGAGGTTTTCAGATTTTAAATTACATACAAAGGGATTTTTTTTTAACATTTTGTCTGTTACCTTTATTTGTTATACATAACACGTTCTTCGCACTTAAACCATAAAATTCAGTTCAAGAGCAATATCGCAAAATAGTTTTAAATTGAGCATATGTTTAAAATTTTCGATACAGAGTCTTGTGCGCTGGAGATTTCCCCCCCCCCCCCGTACAACATTGCCATTGCTCGCTTTGAAATCCTTTCATATACTGAACTAATTTGAATGATGTTACTATATTTGCGCACTTTCATAAAGTTTTCATAATTTTTACAAAAACTCTTCTAGTTTTCAGATCTTGAGTGTAAAATTCGTTTTTTATTTAGGTGCCAAAATTGTGTTCATTGGGCATTTTAAAGCATGTACTCTTGGCAAACATTAGGATTGTCATCTGAATTCTTTAAGAAAATTCTTCTCTTTCTGAAATTTGAAGTTTTTTTATAGTGTGCTGATAAAACTGACAATTTTAAAATATATTTGTCAACTAGAAGTTTGATATGGTGATATGCAAATTTCATGGTAGTTGTTTTTAATATATTATCATTATATCATTGAAATAACAGTAACATGTTAATATTATATTTTGGGGAAAAATATATTAAAATAAAACAATTTTATTTTCCTTTGTCATGTTTTCTGATACCTTTAAATATCTTGATTTTAAAATTTAAACAAGAAAATAGCTAATAAAGCAAAGTTCCCAAATTACATTTTAACAAAAAAAAGAAAAGAAAATCCGAGAGGTTTTCAGATTTTAAATTACATCCAAAGGGATTTTTTTAACATTTTGTCTGTTACCTTTATTTATTATACATAACACGTTCTTCGCACTTAAACCATAAAATTCAGTTCAAGAGCAATATCGCAAAATAGTTTTAAATTTTCGATACAGAGTCTCGTGCGCTGGAGATAATAATTTTTTTTTTTTTTTTTTTTTTTTTTTCCCCCTGTACAACATTGCCATTGCTCGCTTTGAAATCCTTGAGTTTGTTAATAAAAAATTCATTAAAGTTTTACAAAATATGAAATCGATAATAAAACAAATTTCAAATTTGTGCTCCCACATGCCCATATTCACAGTAGGACTACGTCATTCAAAATTCGATAGCTCTATGTACCATTGTTTTATCACAATGTGAGAAATATACATACTTTTATGCAGATTTTTCATTATTTAATTTCTTCAAATATAATGCAGGACTCTAACATTGGGTGGCAACAGTTTGAAAAGAGAAATGGGCATTTATAGTGAACCAACGCAAAACGAAAACAATAGTCCTTCAGGGACAAAGCCCCTTTGGACTAAAAAAAAAACTAATTATACTAAAATTAATTTCATCTAATTTTCCATTTTTTATGGTAAATGTTTTACCCATGTAATTGTTTCATGTGTTGATTTAGTCTGTAAAATTCACTGTCTGTTTCTTAATATTTTACTCTTACTTAACTGGCAGGTTTGTAGCAGAGAAGTAATGAAAGAAAGCATAAAAGTAACCTTATTAAAATGTCTTGATCTGATTTTAAAACTTATAATTATTATGCTATGTTTATTAAAGAACTACCAGTAAAAAATTCTTTCCTTCCTAAGATAACTTGTGATTGTAAAATGTGAAATATCAAAAGAAATTATTAATTTTTCTTTTGAATTCCTTTTGCATATTTAACTATGCATAAAAATCTATATTAATGAATAACAATTAAAAAACTGTTTAAAAATGCATTCTCTCAATAACAAAAGGATGTATAGAATGCCTCTAAAAGAGTAAATTGCCAGTGATTAAAATTTGCCAACAACATGAAAAATCTGAAAATATCAGATATGATTAAAGAGAAGAAAGGATAATGTCACAAAGTTGTTGATGGTTGGCTTTCAGCATAGATGACACTGCCAAATAATAAAATACACTTCAGTTTTTCAGACTCCAAATGCCAAAGTTATCAGAAATTTTGTATGTAGGAAAATTTTACAAATAACTATAAATGGAAAATACTAAATAATCTTGTACTAAACGATTATTTTCATTAAATTTATTGTAATTAAAAACTAGATGTTTATCTTATTTTATTGTGATAAGAAAGAACCAGACAAAGATATATTTATAGTATTAATATTTCACTGGCTATTTGAATTTTATTATTAAGTTATTTGAATATGGCAAAGTACACTACAGCTATTTGCCTACAGGAAGGGATGCATTCGTGGAGCACTTAATGCAATTTAGCTCATATTCATGTTAAGCATGGAGAAAATTAACTATGCAGCTACCCTGTTTGTCTGGGATCAAAGCCAGGTCGAATTCCTAGTATTCAGTGGTCTTAACCACTTGACCATTAATGAGGCAAACTTTTAGTGATTACATTAGACTGTATAAATATTTTTAATGAAGGACCATATCAAAATAATCTAACAATATTATTGATCATATGTGTATTTTCACTTAAGAGTACTTTTAGCAAGTATTTTTGTGAAACATCTACATCTATTGATTACATCTTTTTATTTTATTTTTTTAATAACATGCACATAATTATTCACAGCAATCAACAAAAATATATAATGTCTAATACTAAGATAATTTTGATAAAATGTTAATGACTTGTAACTTACCTAGTATTAGTTGTTTTATAAGCAGACATTGCATCTTCTAGGGCTCTGATATTCAATGTTGCCTGCAATTACAATCATTGAAATTAGAAAGTAACAAATATTGATAAGTTAAAATTCATATTAAAAGTAAATTCGATCAGAAAGAGAAGAAATAAGTTTTCATTCATCTACCTGAATATTAGAATTTCCTTCATAACTATCAATACATTCATATAATCTAGCTAATTCCTCAACAACTGCTTCTACAACTCTGGTAAGCACTTTGCTGACAAATGGAGGTGAAACTGCAAATACCTGAAAAGGAAGTCGTGTTGCAAATTTTAATTGAAATATTCTAGTTAACAATAGTTCAGTAATAAGAAATTTCTATTTAAAAACAAATACTAAATTCATTAGAAAAATTACCTCTGCATGTATCTCTATCATATCCATTATTGTTTGCTTTATATATACACTGACACCTGTAATAATCAAATAGGAATTAAAATTGCTGTTAATTAGGACAGTAATTTAAAATGAAATAGGTAAGTGAATTTTCTTTTACCTGTAGGTTTGTAATCTGATTCCCAGCTGAAACAACCAGCATACATTCTTGGTTCAATTGCTCCAACTATAGGATCACATTTTCTTTCAACGTATGAATTAAGAAGTTTATCACGGACTTCTCGAAATCGAGCTTGACTACTCTGTTGAAAAAAGTCTTGAAAATTAATACATCTGACATTTTTAGATTGAAAGCAAAGTGATAAATATAAAGCCACCCATCAACTTACAAATGTAATGGACTTAAATATAATTCTTATCACCAAAGCATTATCAGACAAAAAGAAATTTGTAACTGGCTGCTAAAGTGAAATTCTATCAATTTAACACAATTCCTATCAAAATATCACTTGAAAATTACATATTTTATATGCCTAAGACTAATGTTTTGTAAACATATGTATAAAAAAGAGTATGGAAAAATTGTGATATAAAAATATATGGATATGATCACATATGTTTATTGCAAAGTAATATAAGTCAGAAGTCTCAAACTGTATGCAGGCTGAATGTTTGATCGATCTGAAAGCAGATGATGGAGCAGAACTTTTTATAGCAAAATTTAAAAACACTTAATAATAATAATATTAATTTAAAATTTTGCTTAATGTTTATAGAAATACATATAAATAATAAAAACACAAAGGAAAGAATTCAAATTTATATTTATTTTCTATTTTAAGTCTAAAGATTGGTATATGCAAAAAATTTCTGTTGGTTACCTTGCATTTACAGCTAAAAATTAAATTTTAGACTGACCTTTATTTCAGATAATTAAAGTATGTTGAATTAACCACTAAATTACTTACTTTTAACCTAAACTAGGAACTTCAGAATACTGAAGCACCATCAGCTGTTGGCTAGCAAATTAAATTTACTGGCTGTACGAAATCCCCCACATTACCCTAGTCACTTGGCCTGTAAATACATTTTCCAGAGTGACAATAACAGAGTATTTTTAACTGTATTTTTTTCCCCTTCTGAAGTGCACATAGTAATTTGTATTTTTCAGTTGTATCGTCTGTGATATGTAAGTAATGTGAGAATAAAGATTTATTAACATAAGTGAAGAATATTTCTTAAAGAAAGTAAGTTAAGCTAACATTTCAGAAGTGAAATTAACAAGAATTATTACAAAAGATTTAACAGTGTATTGCCTTAATGTACATTAAGCCTAAACTGAATGCAGAAGCTAGTCAAAACTGAAAGTAGAAAGGTACTTGTATTTATAAACTGTTTATATTATGTCTAAGTATTAAACTGAAAGAACTTAAGTATAATTATTGTTATATTATTTGAAAATTGAAGATGGCTTATTTGGCAAGGGAAAAGAAATGTGACTTAAAAGAACTTGCCTTCGAACTTGATGTAAATGTCCCTTCTGATATTAAAATTGTAGGCTTAAGGGATATGATTTTGAATAGTAAGAACTATAATGAAGACTTTACTAAACAAATGCTAGATAGAATTATAAATGATCGTTTAGACAGGGAAAAGTTAGAAAGCAAAGAGCATTTGAACTCGAAAAGATGGAAATTTTAGAAAAAGATAAGCAAAGAACATTTGAACTCGAAAAATTGAAAATAGAAGTGGAAATCAGTAGTAGTAATGTAAATGATTCTGTTCCTTCTAATGTTAGTAAAAGTAATTTTTGTGATATTTGTAAATTGATGCATAAGTACGATTTGAATGAAGGTGATATAAGTTTTTATTTAGTCTTATTTGAGAGATAGGCACGACATATTAAGTTAGAAGAACAAAATTGGGTTTCTCAGCTATTGGGTCTATTGCCTTATGAAATAACTCAATTAATTTCCTGTGAATCAGAAGAAAAAGCTAATGATTATAAGACCGTTAAACAACTGCTATTGAGAAAATTTAAATTAAGCCCTGAACAGTTTCGGCAAAAGTTCGTTGATCACATTAAAACGTTGCATAATGCATGGAGGGACTTCACGTTTTAATTAAAAAATTATTTTGAAGAGTGGCTTGCTGGATTAAATGTAACAGATTTTGAATTCTTTAAAACAGCTTATTATTATGGATCAATTAATATGAATTATAGGGTCCCGCTGCTATACGAGACCATCGTTCATTGATGAATTGATCTCTAATTCATTCATCCTGAAAGGAGATTGGCTGAAAAACTAGATGAATATGAAAATATTCGGGCAGAGATAAAAGTACTTCAAGTAGAAAATAAAACTTTTAGGCATAATTCTAATTCTAGATTTTATTCCTAATTTACCTAAATTTGGTTCTAAATTTTATAAAGAATCCTATAATCAGTATTCAAAAATGTTAACGATTCTATGCAGACAGATGGTAATTTCAAAGTGGGTTTTAAAAACAGTTTGGATAATAAATATAATTTGAGAGATAAATTTTATAAAATAAACGAAAGGAAAAGGGAATATAATTTTGGTGTCCACAATGAAAAGGGGGAGCCGAAATGCTTCAATCGTAATGATTATGGACATATACCGACGGCTTATCCTCAACCTAAAAAAGAAACTATTTGCAGGAAATGTAATGAAAAGGGTCATACTTTTAAAAAGTGTACGTCTAAGAGTTCAAACTTGACAAATGTTAAAAAATAATTTATCCATGAACCAGAATTCAGCTATTTCACCAACTGTATATTTAAAGTATGCTCGTATCATTAATGGAGAAGAAATTACTGCAATCACAGATACGGGTTCTAGTTCATGTTTATTGAAACAGACTGTGGCTAGGAAACTGAATCCTATTATACAACCCGATATGGAGGAATTGTTTGGCTTTGGAAACCAGAGTAAACCAGCCGCTAGAACATTGGGAAAAGTAAATGTTAATTTAGAGATTGATAATGTGGAAGGAAAGGACATTACAGTTCTAATTGTAGGAGATGAAACGCAAACATGCGACTTATTAGTTGGTCGAACATGGATTGATTTGCCATATATTGCATATGCCAAGATAGGTAATACCTTGCACATACACCAAGCTAATGATTGTCCATTTTCACAGTTGCAATATGACATCAACATTCCATGAATTAAACTGAAAGCTTCCCAAGAAACTGAAATCGAAAGTAATACAGTTAATTTCGTGAAAGTTAAAACTGATGAAATAAATAACAGTTATGTTTTAATAAGTTGATCGGATGATGAGTTGGACACATTTTTGGAAGTAATACAGGGAGAAACAGCGATACCAGTCACTAACTACAGTGATATAAAATTAATTTTGAGAGAGAATCAATGTATCGGTAGAGCGGAAGTAGCAGAATTAGTTCAATCAAGTTCAAATCAAAAGGAAATAATGTTAACAAATGAAATTAAGAAGTTTAAGAGACTGATTACTTTAGAAGAAATTAAAGTTAATAACAATATTATGTCAGAGAGAAAATGGGAAGTTTTAGATTTGATAAATGAGTACCGAGATTGTTTTGCATTAAATACAGAGAAATTAGGGTGTACAAACTTAACAAAAATGGATATTAAAGAAATTGAAGGGAGTAAGCCTATTTGCATGAAGTCGTATAAAACTAATGCCAAGGAGCATGCTTCTATAAAGAAGATAATAAATGAATGGAAGAAATGTAGAATTGTTACTGAAACAAGATCTCCGTATGCTAGTCCAGTTTTACTCATAAGGAAAAAGACAGGTGAACTTCGATTAGTGGTAGATTATAGAAAGTTGAATTTGCAAACTGTTAAAGATAAATTTCCACTTCCTAAGATAGATGATCTTCTTGAATTAATGAGTGTAAAGTTTTCACTACATTGGACTTAGTGCATGGATATATTTACAGATTCCTTTAACTGAAGAAGTGAAACTGAAAACAGTTTTTATCACTCCAGGTGATATTAGTCAATTTGTACGTATCATCTTTGGGCTAGCTAATGCTCCTGCAGAATTTCAGAGACTCAATAATCAAGTTTTAGGTCCATTGCTTAATAAAGAAGTATTATGCTATTTGGATGACATATTAATTCCGGCTAAATCTTGGGAAGAAATGATGGAAAAACTTAGAAAAGTGTTTGATCGATTGAAAGAAGCAAAGCTGACATTGAAACTGACAAAATGCGAATTTGGAAAAGATGAAGTTGAGTATTTGGGATTTCTGATAAAATCGAATGGTATGGAATCTGGACCAAGAAAAGTACGAGCCATATTAAACTCTCATAAACCAACCAATGAACATGAAGTTAAACAATTTTTAGGTCTTACAAGTTTCTTTAGAAGGTTTGTACCAAAATATGCAGAGAAAGCTGAGCTGTTAACGAGACTGACGAGGAAGGATGAAACATTTCGTTGGAAGGAAGATCAGCAAGAAGCATTCAGTACTTTTAGCTGATGTCATATTAAACCATTTAACTATGAACCAGTAAGACCATTTAACTAATGAATCAGTACTAGCATTATATAATCCGGAAGCAGAGACTGAAGTGTACACAGACGTGAGCAGCAAAGGGCTTGCAGGAATGCTGTTGCAAAAAGGTGAAGATAAAAAGTGCCATTTAGTTGTGTAAGTAAAAAAACAACAGAAAAGAATTATCATTCAAGCAAATTAGAATTAATGGCTATAGTTTGGACTTTGACACGACTTCGACAATTTTTAATTGGAATCCGATTTATGGTAATTACAGAGACTGCCAAGCTTTAGTTTATTTAAACAAGAAGAAAACTTCAAATCCTCAGATAGCAAGGTGGAGTAATCTGTTCCAAGAATACAATCTTGAAATAAAGCAGAGACAAGGTTAAAAAATGAGTCATGTAGATGCATTGAGCCGATCGCCAGTTGATCAGCCAGAAGAAACTTTATAATTGAAAACAACTTGGAAGTTTGTTTCATGCTAGATGTAAGAATAATCGATTGTTTCGTAAAGTAAAAGATCAGGAAAAGGAGAAATTGTTATATGTCATACCTAAGTCGAAGAGAAAAGGTATTGTAGTAAAATTTTATGATCTTTTGCGACATTTTTCAGCAGATAGAACTGTTTCCAAAATCAAGGAGTCATACTGGTTTAAAGGAATGAAACGATATGTTATGCATCACATTTCGATGTATTTCGAATGCCTAGTGGTAAGAAACAAGGAGTACTGCATCCAATTAGACCTGGTAGAAGACCTTCTGCAATTATGCAAATTTAGGACCATTCGTAAAAAGTTCAAGAGGAAATACAGAATTATTTGTAATAATTGATAATTTTACAAGATTTGCATGCTTATATCCTATGAAAAGTACTGCAACCAAGTATGTGTTAGTTGCATTGAAGAGTTTTGTAGATGATTTTGGGTAGAAAAAATTATCAGCGATAGAGGAACATGTTTCACAGCGAAGGAATTTCGAGCGTACTGTCCAAATAATGGAATCAGTCATATGCTCAATTCAATTCAACATCCAAGTGGTATTGGAATGGTGGAAAGAGCAAATCGAACAATTTTGGCTACGATTAAAATAAGTACAGAAAATCTGAATTGGAGGAACTGGGACAAAAAGATTAAGGAATGCGAAAGAAATCTAAATAATATGATAAATAAGACTACAATTAAAACCTCTTTTTGAAATGCTTCACGGTTATTCACCAAAATTAAACAACGGATTGATGAGGTTGATTACAGATGAAGACGCAAATGAATAGGAGAATCCATTAATCTAACAGAATGAAGCTAGAAAGAGAATTGAAGATATGCAGATGAAAATGAAAGCAAATTATGACAAGAAGAAAACATTTCGAACATTCGAACGAGGAGTAATAGTAGTTATGAGAAGAGTACCTAAATCAACTGAAGAATCAACCAAAACACAACAAAAGTATCGAGGACCTTTGGTAGTTACAGAAGTTTTGCAAAGTGATACCTACAGAGTGACTCAATTAGAAGAGAAGGTGAAAGGACGTGTCTTTAGTATGACAGCTCATGTGAGACAATTAAAGGCATGGCAGTGTCAAACTGAATCAGAGAAGGACGATGATGATGGTGATGACATAAGTGTTGCTGGGGATAACGATAACAACACGTTGCATATTACTCAAACTAGGACATGGAAAAAGTCTAGAAAATAACGGTGAAACTATATAACAGTTAAAGACTTTCGAACTTTAGATTTTAATATTACAGATTTAATTTTTTGCAGGTATAAGTTCTTAATGTTCCAAGATCATAACAAAAATCAGGATGCCTGAATGTAAACGGGTTTTTTTTTAATATATTTTCCTGAGTGACAATAACAAAGTATTTTTGAATGGTAATTTTTTTTTTCCCCTGAAGTGTGCATAATAATTTGTATTTTCCAGTTATACCATCTCAGTGATATGTAAGTAATGCGAGAATAAAGATTTATTAACATAAGTGAAGAATATTTCTTAAACAAAGTAAGTTAAGCTAACACATATAGTAGCAAAGTCCCAACCTATTCATTCTAACGTTTTTCTTCTTTCAGTAGCAGTCATGTACCTAAGATCAGTCCATATCTTTGTCTTTATAAAGTATCATATTTGCAACAAATACATTATTAAAATGTATTCATGACCTGCTAGTTGCATGCAATCCGTGAATTTAAGACCACTGACATAAGCAATTACAAATTTTCCATACACGATTAAGATAATATCTACAAGCATATTAAAAACATTAACCCAAAATTTTATATTACCATTATATATAAAATAAAAAAAAATTTACACAGACTACATATTTATTAAAAGAAACTTCAGGAAAACTTCATTTTTAAATGCAGTGCTGAATTATAAAAAGAAAATTATTTTTATAAGCATATCAACAAATTTTACCTTAATGACAAGCTGCATGTCAGGATAGCCATACTTGATAAAACTGTCTTGTAGCCTTGGTATGATACTTTTAATTGTATAATTGCAGTTACTCAAAATAATAAGACACTTTGCATCCTATATATATTACAAAAGAATTTTCCAAATTAGTAATTCTGCAAGTAACAGCAATGAAATTCAAAACTTGAAAATTTTACTGAAAAGGAATAATAATAATAAAAAGTTACATCAGATGGGATATCTGTTTCTTCATCCATAAACATGGACTGGTTCATAGAACTTATTCTGGGTGAAATTTGCTTATTTAACCTAAAGAAAAAGAATATTTCAATCAAATTTGTTAGTATATTTAGAATAAATTTTACCAAATCATCAATTATTTAATTTATTTACATTTTTTAATTTTACATCTAATTTTTAATGCAGTTAAAAATTTTCGTAATAGTTTGTAAGAACAGCTGAAACATGAAAACTTATGAACAAAGTATTTGATTGTACACTGAAAGATTGATTCTTGACTAGTGCACACTTTTACAGTGACATCACTATTAATGGGGCAATTAAATTGTCAGAAAATCTTAATTTCATAGATAAAAGAGAATGTATTTTGTGGTCTAAAATTTGTAAACAAACTTAAGAGACTGAACATTACTTAAATTACTTTAGCCAATGCCAGGCCTTGTCAGTTCTGCTATTTGGCAACGAGCTTCCCAGTATAGGCTGGATGTGATGGTACACTGCAAGAATGATGTATTGGCAAGCTCACTGCATCTTCATAAATGATCTCTGTCCATTCTTCCATCCTAAAAGAATGAGCATGTAACACTGTCCACTAAACCAAAGCAGTGCAAGTTAGCTTGGATTCAGTAATGCTCCTAAATTCTGCCACAACAACTGGTCTGGGTAGAATCTTTGAAATGGGACCTTTTGAAAAAAAAAATATCTCCCATTTCTTTTCTTGACATGTTTTTTTCTTTTGATTTTGCTCTTACCTGAGGCAACAATGATGTGTTTGGCCGATGTTAGGCAGGTTATTCTGTCAAATTTCTGGGGGGGGGTTGTTCTTTTCTTAGGTAACTCATCAGCTAATTCATTCCCATGGATACCAGCATGACTTGGAATCCATTGTAGTTGGACAATCCAACCATCAGTGATAAGTTTGGTGAGGATTTGACATCCATGGTGGATCTTAGTGCAGTAGGTGGCCGTGTTGTTACAAAGAGCAGTGATGGCTGTTTGCAAATCAGTGCTACACGCCAAACACTGATTTTACTCTTCCATTTTATTTTTTTAGCTGCCATGTGGACTGCTATGATCTCCCTACTATAATTGCTCATATTTATACCGACTACGGCACAGAGTTCAAAGAGTTTGCAGTGCACCCCTGCTTACTTTCCACAGCTGCTTATCCTGGATCTGTCAGTATTTGTAGCTACTTTTTTTCAAGGTACCTTGAGTGGATTTTTCAAGAGCCGAGTTCCTAAATTCTTCAGGTATTGCTGTATACTTAAGCACTGTCTGCTGCAGGAGGGACATGTGCTTTATAAACAATGCTGGGAAGACAGTTTGATGATGTCTGAGCGGCTCTGGTGTGCCCATGTTAAACCTGTACTTCATTTTTAATTGTTCAGCGTCTAGTATGAGGTCACTTGAGTCTTGAATCTGACACTGGCTGGTCTATAGCTGTCCCAATGTATAAGATCGATGCATCTTGACTTTACCCAAAATTTAAGACTGAGCTTGTTTCTTCTTGTTTCATAAGGTTTGATGTTTGTTTGTATTTCCATTGCACTTATTGGAGTTGAAAAAGCACCAATGGTTATAAGCCTCAGCGCATTGTTGTGAACCTTGTCAAGCTTTTTTAAAGGTTGGGGTTGCTGGCGAGGGAGATCACTTCGTATGCATAGTCCATAGTTGGTCTGATGTATGTTTTATAGGCAGTTGTCAGAACATCTTTTGTGCAGCCCCACTTATCCCAGTGAGCCATATGAGATGATTTAATGTATTATGTGCACATTCAGCAGTATCTTCAATGTGGTTATTATAATTTCATTATAATCATTTTATTATAATTTGCACATTCTGCAATGTATTTTAGAGTTGTGTTGAGGGTTTTGTCAAGCTGGGTGGTATTTCTAGTGGTAGCCCACAGAATAACATCGTTTACACAAAAAAAGGTACAAGACACCAGTGTCTTTTCAACTGCTATCCTTATGTCATCTAGCATAATGTTGAAAAGGAGAAAGCTGCAGATGGTCCCATATCAAAGGCCTTGCCTTAGTTGCTTACATTGTGATGTTGCATTTACGTGTTTTGTTCGGATCAAGCATTGCACTAGGAAAATTATCCATTTCAGCATGTTTTCTGTCACCTTGTATTCTCTCAGCTTACATAGGAGGAGACTGTTTAGACTTTGTGGTAGGCCACTTTGAAATCAATCAGGACAGGCAAAGTAGACTGTTTGTGATGGAATCCATCTTTGGCCGCATGTGTGAACTTGATAATTTGATTGATTGTTGGGGATAACCCATCTACTTTTCACTGATTTTTCCCTTTGTCTCTAAGAAATTTCATAGCCTGAGTTAAACCATTTTTTCTGCTATTTTCAAGCATGTGCTGATGAGTGACAGAGGCCCATAGCTGCCTCTATCATCTTATCACTTCTGAAGTTGTTGGATGGGTTCTTGTAGTTCTCCTCAGGATTTCCCTTTGATCCTCCATATTGACTTTAAGAGAGCTATGAGAGGCATAGTATTTGCACAAACAGTTGACTACTTTGGCCAGGCTGATCAGAGTTCTGCCATTAAAGACCTTAGATTCCCATATGTGGCCTTTCCTCCCTTTGCCCCCTTGAGAGAAATTTATGGGCTTTGATGCCATCTCTTCTAAAGTCAATATTTTCAACAAATTTTCAGCAGGTTTCTCTCTTTGACTCAATGACGGCCCTATTAAGGGTAGCTTGCAACTGAACATATAACACTACATATGGCAAGTGAGAGTGGTTGCTTTTTACAGAATACCAAGATCAAACTCTTACAGAGCTAGTTCTTTCATAGGTCACAATAATGAATAATCCGAGTTATGATACACCATCAGTTTTGGTTTCAAACTGATGTACAATGTAAAAAAAAATTTCAAAAATTCTCAAGACCTTTAGAAACTTTGCTTTCTTAACAGTACATGTCTTAGATGGTTTAAAGCTTTCAGAAGGATGGGAATCAACTGAAGATGATTTCTATTTCAGAAGGCCTTCAATTAAAAAAAAAAAAAAGATAAAAATCTGAACAAAATCAGGGATCCTGTATAGTCAAACCGACAACAGACAGCGAGATTAATTTCAGAAATGTTAAATTGATTCACACGAGGCTGGACATCAGACTTGTATGCTTCACCATCAAAAAGGCATTCCTGTCACCCCTCAGCCTTAAGGCTGTGTTCAGATGGGGTCATAAAGGGCATAAGTGGTTAAAGCCAAGCTGCATTGCCAAGGCAACCAGTCTGTGCTACATCACATAATCTGGTTTAAGGTTCGCGGCACAAAGTTCCAAGTTTTAAACTTTACGCAGAGGTTGGGACAAGAGTCGACCAAGCAGAGCAAAGCTAAAACGAAGTGGCTTCCTTTAGATCATTTCGCTGTTACATCGAAAACGACATTTTTTTTAATATGGAGCACATTGTATCCGAATGAGTTATAAATCATATCCGAACGAAATAATGAGTTGATCTCGCAAGAAATCTACGATAATGACATGCATTTTTAACGAGTTTTCCCAATAAATTGAAAAATATGTTCACAATAAATAAGCGAAAGTTAAGCTCAGGATCATGCACGCTGTGTATAATCCTGTAGATGATTGATCCCATCATTATTTTTCATTTTATTATGAAAATTCTTTAAAAAATGTATGCTTGCAAAAATTTTATTCTTTCTGTGTAAATTATTATTATTACTTTCTTTCTGTTTATTATTTTTGTGTAAATTATTACTATCATTTTTCCTGTTTAATTATTTTTGTGTTTAAGAATATATTTTTAATTATTATTTTTATTTTAATTATTTATTTCTGAAATATTGATTTCTTTCCAAACTTATTACTTCATGAATTAATTTTACTAAAACATCAAATCAATATCAAGAATCTGCTGGGTTTTTTTTTAGTAAAAATATTACTTTTAAAAAAAGAAAAAAATTTTTTTCACTTATTTAAGAATAGTCACAATAGTCAATTCAATGGTGTAAGCTTTGTATAAGTAATAAAAGGTTAATCTTTTGAGAAAATGCTCTTATGAAACCAAGAAGGAAAAAATGTAGTGAAATATCCTTAAAAACAACAGCCTAGACAGTTTTGTCTCCTGTTGATGTTCTGTTCTGTTTTTTAATTACGTTCTCCATGAAGGAATTTACTTTTAATGAAACTTAAATAGCCACACATAATTTCATAACGGCTATAATTTAATGAATAGTATTTGTTATCATTATTATAAACTCTTTATTACTATCATTTGAGTGGAATTTTGATCATTAAATTCATGCTATTTCTCTGGTAGAAATTCCTGGATAAGGTACAAATGTTTATAATTTTGTTATATTTGAAGACTTGGGTACCTAAAATTTGTCAATGTGAAATTACTTTTGAGATATTGATGGTAAATAGAAATGACAGCATATGTTAAAATTAAACTCTTTTGGATGCTTTAATATGCATGTCTGCCAGTGAGTGAAGAATTGTCATAATCTGTCAGCAAATGAAAAATCATTAAAAGTAATTACTTCTGACAACAGACGTGGATGAAACTTACATCTATGACATCTCACAGCACAGCAGAGTTTAATTTCAATTACTCATATGATGTAAACATATCAGTTTGCAGAATTATCCACAAAAATTCCTGAAAGTTAGTGTTCACTATGTACTGTAGTCTTTCGAGTGTAACCCCCTCCCCCCCTTTTTTTTTTCAGAAAAAACATATGAAATTCAGGGGTGTGGCTTATACATGCAAATTAGTAGAAAGAGATGTATACAAACAACTGGCAACACAGCAAATGTATTTAATAACTGAGTATAAAACACATTGTTGGATGAACGTTTCGTAGTATTGTACTAGTTGTGGGACACTAGTATTAGTGATAATTGATACTGGTAGTGCAGCCAATTACTGTAAGTGATCAACAGTGACAGTGAATAAGGAGTTCTAAGCACAGAAACATGTTCCTTTTGATTGAAAATTTAAAAAAAAAACTTAATGTATGGTAAGTACCGTTTTCCACTTAACTGCTTTCACAACCTGCAAAATGGAAAAATATACACAGGCTATCTGTCACTTATCCTCAAGATTTTTTTTTAATTAGGTATAATTAGACTATCGTATTTCTCCTAAGAGAAATTATATATAAAAATTGAAGAAGGTTTTATACATATAAATATGCATGTTTATAGTATAGAGAGTACTACAGTACAATGCAGAAATATTCCATACTGCTTTACACAGAACTTTGTGGTGAGCTGAGAAAGCCATGACACAAAACAAGCAGAGCGAGCGCAGGAAATCAATCAAGCTAGAAAACAGCGTGCAAAATGTGTAGACACATCTACGCATCTGCAAATTTAGCTTCTCTCATTGGTCACAGCTTAGACCCCTGTCTCGAAAGTGTGAACGGAACTCCCATATTTTATGCCCTTATGACTATGCCTCAGTGCTCTTTATGCCGCCATCTGAACGCAGCTTAATATTCACTTGACTAGACCTTAGTCTCTGCAAATTTTTTGTGTTCCACAGAGTGAAAATTTACTTGAAGGGACAGCATTTTGGAACCACAGAAAATATTAAAGACCAGCTGAAAGACATTTTAATTTCAGAATTCTAGTACTGCTCTGAAGAGTAGGAACAACATCTTAAAAAAAGTGTCATTTTTCAAAGGGAACTACATGAAGGAGATTGGGCGAATTTGTAATGAAGATATAAATAAAAGTGTGCCTGGAAGGAATCTCATTATTTTATTTACAGACCTTGTACCTTATTACAGACCTTGTACTTTTGTACAGTAGGTACTGTAGATCATTCACTGGCATTATATTTCTTCAATTAGCTAGACTAGAATTTTATGTCTATGAATAAAGCATTCATCTATAGACCAAAAGGTGAGAAATTCAGTTTCTAGTTTTGCACAGCTAGTTTGTTTAATAATTTTCTAAAATCAATTGGCAAAAAAGGAAAATATATCAATACTTGTCATTAGCTTTTGTTGCCTGGGCCATTTTCTCCAATGAACTAGCAAAAGCTTGTAAAAGACTCTGAGAAGACTGCTTCACAGCAGCTTGCACATTTATTTGCAGAAATATCTATCAGTGTAAAAGACATTATTATAACACTTTTAACATATTTCAAGTAAGAAAATAATGAAATTGACCTATTCAAAGTGGTTGCATTAACTTACATCAGATTCTTTAGGTCCACATTGTAAAACAGTCTCTCGAACAAGCTGCAGTGTTTCCACAACTCTGTTTTCAAACAATAAAGGCTACAAAAAAGTATTTGAAAATTAACAAAGAGTATATATATAATTTATAAACTTCAAATTAAAGTAATAAATTATCACTGGACAACAAATTTGAACATTTTGTTGGTAACCATGATATAAAATATGTTTTTACATGGAAATTACGGTGTTAAATATGAAAATAACACTAAAATTCAAAAGTTATTTAAATTTTTTTATTAATTTTTAAATACATTTTTAAACATACATTATTTATTAAAAATTATTCGAAAGTGCTTTTCTAACACTTCATTTTGCAACACTGTGATATATTACACCTGGAGCATGTCTAACAAGTGTCCAACAATAATCAGCAAGCATGGAAGGGCTCCATTTTCCATTTCCCCCCCCTCCATCTCTACAATGTCCTGGTGAAAGTGCTCACTGTATTCATCACTAACCCCACCACAGCTATCTGGGGAAAATGTATTTTCAAAGACATGTTGCAACCTAGTTTCTTATATGATAACAACAGTTCCTCCACAAGTTCAGTGTAGTTTTCAGACCTCATATTTTCCATGAAGTTAGTTGCTACTTGTCAAAAATTTATTCAAGCATTCTTCTCTCACCTGTTGAGACAGATTTCAAAACATTCGTCCTTGAAGAGATTTTGAATTTGTGGCCCAACAAAAATGCCTTCCTTTATTTTTGCTTTGCTTAGCCTATGAAATTTCCCTCAAAGATAAAAATGCCCGGCCATTTTTATCAATTGCTTTCACAAAATTCTTCATTAACCCTAATTTTATGTGTAGTGGTGATAGCAATATCTTTGTTGGGTGAATCAATGACACATTTTGAACTTATTTTTGCCTGGTTCCAAGGACTGTCTAGCAGTTAAAATGATCTGCCCTTGACTATCCCATTCACACAAAAAAGAGAAGAATTTCGTGTATTCTTGCTGCAATTCTACCAAAAGAGTAACTACTCGTAAACAGTATTTGTATTTGATGCACTTTAGGAGATTCTTCAAAATTTCATACCATTCTTTCATGTGAAGAGCATGTACAAGAAGAATCGATGGTAAATTGTTTACAATATGATTCAGAACAGCTTTTAAGCTTAATACTGAACCATCTATGAACAACCTCCATTCATCCAGTTCATGATTTATATTAATAGCTCTGAATAAACCATTTACATCCTTGCAAAAATTTAAGTCTTATTCAGAAGAATGGCATCAAATCTTTCTGATGAGTATGAAAATGAGTTATCCCTACATCATTTTCCAAAACATCCCACTGTTTTAATCTTGACCCTAACAGTTCTGCCTTATTTTTTGGCAAATCTAACTCTATCACTAGATCATTTAATTTGGTTTGACTTGTCATGCGATGCTGTCTAGATGAAACACTGGGTGCGTAATCAGGATCCAAAGATGTTGACGGCCTTCTTAGATTATCCTCTACTTTTTAATATATTTCATACCTCTGATATAAATTTTTTATTTTTATTTGATATCAATATAGTTTTTGAAGATGCCCTACATTGCTATTGGGAATAAATTAATTATATCTGTTCAAACATAATAATAGCATTTGTATTACATTAAGAAAATAAATTGTTTTATCACATCAATCATATTGTTGCATGTGTATGGGTTCATAACAGATTGAATGTACACAGAACCAATGTTTATTGATAAAAATTATTTTAGCAAAAGAAACATTTTATAGTTCTGGAACTTTCCAGAAAAGCACTTGTACAGCTCTTCTCAGTATCACAAAGCACTATCAGTACTTAGGCTCTAAATTACTAAGAATGTTAAACACAATGCAATCCAAAATACACCTAAAGCTCTCACCAATATCTCAATATTTTAAAGTCGCTCTGAGCAAACAACTGAAAACTGATGCTTTCTCCCATCTTAACACTCCCTCAATTCACTGAGAAATCTCTATTAGCTTCCACTTCTCAAAATTACTGGAAAGCATATGAGGGCCGGATATGGTTACAGTTACATAATGGGATCAATTACATTTATTCAATCACAATACCAAATACAGTTACACAGGGACCAGACCAAAATATCGCCAGGTTTCATGATTTCTTGTAAAATTTGGCAACAAAAATTAGTCACCAACAGCATTTCCAAGTTGGCGATATCTCACAAAATTAGCGAGACAACCATTTAATCAATGCTGAATAGACGTGCCTCTATATTCTTATTTTTCTGGCACAGCATCGTCTCTTGCAAGCATTTCATATTACATTATACACAAAATACTAGAATTTCACATATAATTTTACCAAAACTATTTACATGTATACAAAATTCATAATATCATTTCAGAATATAATAGCATAGTTCTTTTTAACATACTACTATATATTATTAAAAATAGTAAAATTCTCCTTACCATTGATACCTTGTATAGGTACACAGAAAAAAAACTATACTAGCAGGAATGTTAAACCCAAAAGTGTGGTCCTAATGTAATTCTTGCTACTGCTTTCACATTCTTAGATTAAAAAAGTTTTAAAGACTCTTACAGTATTACTGCAAAAAGAGCTCCACTTCTCAAAAAAATTTGGCATAACAAACTTTCCATGCATGCATTGCAGGAAAAGATTATTTATTATTTAAAGTCTAATACACTAATAATATAAAATAGCTCCTAATTAAGAAGAAACTTAATTTTATCTACATTATGGCAAATTACACTAGAAAAGAAGCTTGTAGATAATTTTTAGGTGTACACACATAGAAGTGATATAAAAAATGCATCAAAATATTTCCTAGTAAACAACGAAAAAAACTCTGCACCGATCACAGCTGCTTATACAAATAACAAACAAATGGTGGTACAAGTATAGTATGTTTCTAAAAAACTTACTAGTTGGGTAGTACCTCCATTGTTATCGTCTATTTCTACAACCCATGTTTCACGCTCATCCAAATGCTGGATGTCTAAAACATTTTTCAAACATCAATACATTTTGCAGGTATAAATACTATATATGCTTATGCAATGTTCATATTTTTATCCAAAAATTTTAGTGCACAATTCAAGGCAAAAACAGTACATGGATGGTTCCGTATTTAAGTTCAATTATTTGCATTTATTCTTTCTCGAAAACCCTGTGATAACTTTTGATGGATAAAAAATGTGTACAAAAAAAGATGGATAAAACTAATTAAATGTTTTACACAGCAAATTCAAAGTTCTTAGTACCCATGTAGCTTTAAGCATGTGCTTTCAAAATATATATTGACAACTTCAAAATTTAGATTTTTCTAATCATCTGCACTCCACACCCTCCATACAAAATAGGTAATTCATAAAGTTACCAAAATGTACTCATTTGGCAGCCCAGATATACATGTACATGCAGTAGATGAGCTCTGAATTTTGACTTCAAATTTGATAGTCCGTTTTTACTTCCTTGTAAGAAGTAAAGGAATGTTTGTAATGCATTCCAGAACAACTTTTTTTTTCTTGTAAGAAATTGTAATCAAACTGCAGAGTTTGCCGACTCACAAGAAAGAAAGCATTACACTACTACTTCAGAAATATAGTATTTTATTCAGCAATACAGAATGCAAAAGTTTGCATTTCCATAAAGCTTTTTTTCTTAAATGATCAAATTTTGTGCAGAATGCTGAATTTGTGAAATTCTCTCTTTTTTTTTTTTTTTTTTTTTTAAACAAAAGCAGATTTTTGTTTACAAGGGAAAAGCAACAGTATATGCAGGGCCAAGTTGAGAATGATGCCAAGTTTGTGCAATTCTCTAACGATTTTGGGGATAATACAAGATAACATATTCCACAGGGTTACTATACAGATAATAGTGTTATATATGTTTTACTATGGATATTTTTTTTTAAGTTCATTAATCATTTACTCTTTCTGTGATTCATAGTGCACTACTATTTCTAAAAATTGCTGTTACCTTTAACATTTTAATTTGACAAAAAATAAGTAACTAATGGCTAGCAACTTTTCAAGATAGGTGCAGGTAATTAAAAAGTACCTAAAATTCCTATGTATATACAGTGCCTACCCTATTTATAAAAAACTCGTTTATAACATCTTTCATATTTATACATTGCTTCATCTTGGTTCTGAATCAGTTCTATTTTTTAAGAGTAAAATAGTTCTTTTACACATTGAATAACTTTGGTTATACATTGCACTGCATTAGTTTTACATTTTGCAGTCTCTCAGTTCAGGTACTTTTTCCAGAAATAGAGATAGGAGAAAAAAACAAAGGCATGAGGTATCGCAATCTGATACAGGAGTCGAAAAGCAATTCATGAATAGATGGGCTATGTGAAAGGAAAAATAAATATAGTTTTCTCTTCTGAACATGACACTGTGTTAAGTAAATTAGGTTAGGTGGAGCAGAATAAACTGATAAAAATGTCAAGAAGGTGAAAGGCACTTTTGTTAAAAGATAAAATTCAAATCTTCAAAGAATCAGATGATTTGATTTGACAAAAGTTGAGTTTGCAAAGAAACTGAATATTCCTGTGATAACATTAAAAACAGTTGTTTATGATAGGGGGGAAACAGAATATTATGGACATTTCACTTCAATGAAATTACATATTCAAATGGAAAGTTTCCAGAAGTTGAAACCATTCTTGCTAAAATTTTTCATTCAATGTCATCCATCCAATATTCTGGTGAACAGCCCCATGTTAACCGAGAAGTCAAAAGAAATAGTACTTCGATTGAATGTGAATGAAGCTTGCTTTTGAAACTAGATGGCTGCAAAAACTTAAATTGCAGCATTAAAATGAGAATCAAAAGCATTCGTGCTGAGTTGGTTGAAGAGTGGTTCAAAATTTATCCACCGTAGATGGATATGAATTAAAAGACATTTTTAATGTTGATGAAAACTGCTCTTTAAACTTATACCTGCAAGAACACTAGCTTTCAAAGGTGACTAGAGTCACAGAGCTAAGCAAAGTACAAAACATCTCACTGTTTTACTTGGAGCAAATGTTGATGAAGACAAAATGACTCCTGTAGTTATAGAAAACTTACAAAAACAAAAGATGCTTCAAACTAGTTAAAACTCTGATACTAATATATTAAGTTAAGAAAGCATGGATTACTACAGACACTTTTACAGAATAGCTCAAGAAAATAGACAAAACTATGAGAGGACAAAATCACAAAATTTTACTTTTTATCAATCTGTATACAGCCCATCTCAAACGACAGATTTCTTGCAAAATGTGAACTAGTGGAGTACAACCTTTAGATCTGAGTGTCAGTAAGAATTTGAAAATGTTCTAGAGTCAAAGGCTGATACAAATAGCACTTCAAAATAAAACTACCGAAAATACACAGAAAAATTTAAATTTTGTGGCTATGAATATGATTTAACCTGCATGAACTGAAGTAAAACCACAAGCAGTTAAAAATTGCTTCATGAAAAAGGGATTTTCAAACCCAGAGTAAAATGAAAGTGTTGAAGATGAAAATGATTTTGAAACTAATTACGGATGAAGAAGACTGGAAACTACTGGGAACATTACCAAGGGATATGTAAACAGTAATGTAATGACATCATACTTATGCACAGTTCAAGAACTGATTAATTTTACTAGATGAACATTTAAGTAGAAGAGATGAAGAAATAATCCCGTGTTCTTTTCAAAATGCTGTCTACTGCATTGACACCCTTGGGTGTAATAGTACAAGTGAGAAAACATTTCAAGAACTAACTTCAATTCATGATGCTTTACTTAAGATTCAGAATCATAAGATGCATCAGGAACAAAGACTTGAGTTAATTTTGTTTTCAATTTTATGCAACTACATATAGAAATTTGCATTCTTATGATTTTAAAAATATTAAATTTGTATTAATATAATTTTTAAAATATTAATTATTAAAGAATTTTTAAATTGTTTACTTGGTTAAAATATTAATTAAATATTTATTTAAATTTGCTTGAAACATAGTTAATATTTTAAACAGATTGAAAGTACAAAAAATTGTTTAAAATTTTGTTTATATGTCTGTCTCATTTATATGTTGTTTGTGAATGGTCCCCTTGAATGAAAATTCAGTGCTGATATTACGTAAGTGGTGGATATTATATGAACATATGCAATATATGAAGCAATTAACTGTACAAAAAGAATAAAGAATCTTTAAAATATTGTTTTGATTTTATTGAAAATATGAATTTTAAACTTAATAAACACAGGTAAATATCTTTTTTGAGACATAATTTATTTTTTTTTTATCGGTTATCAAAATAATCTTGTTTTTTATTTTTGTGATTGAAGTTTACTCATTTCCTGTTATTAGAATTTAAGTTGAAAAACAGAGATAGGCTATAACACTTTTTTAAATACATTTGGGAGAAAAGTGTTCACCAAGTTTCATAAAAAATTTTTACCTACTATTAACAAGAAATCACATTTTTGAACTACTATAAAATCTTATTCATGATCCATTCACTCATACAATGATTATGAATTCAGAAACAAATATATGTCTTTCTAGATACACCAGCAATGCTAAAAACACTTCTTGCTCAAAACTATATAACAACTATTAAAGGAATTGCTTGACTAACTTGACAATTGCAACATTATAGAGAAAAGTTAGAACCAAACCTTGCGCTGCTTGAGAAAATAATGTCTTCATTGCGTGAACTTTAAGGTCAAATATTAATTGCTGTATAGCAATCATCATATCTTCAGGAAGGTCAAGTTTTAAAATTCCAGAATAGCAATTTCTAAGTAGAAAAAAGGTTAATTAATATTCTTCCATTCAAAATATTAAAAACTTTAACTAAAACTTTTGTTTTACAGAAATGCATACATCACTTTTAAAATTAAATTCATCATATTAGATAGTTAACAAGAAATAATAAGTAGTTTGAAAAATTTCGCATTTGATATAATGCAGAAATTATTAGAAAATTGTATCAATTATTGCAAAATAAAAAATTTTTTTTAAATCTAAAGAAATAAAATAAAGAAAACATTAAAAAAAATTTGACAGGTTTTAGATTTTAAAATTACGTCCAAAAGGTTTCAGATTTCAGATTGACAGGTTTCAGATTTTAAAATTATGTCATGTTCTTCGCACTTAAACTATAAAATTCAGTTCAACAGCAATATCGCAAAATAATTTTAAAATGAGCATATCGTTAGAATTTCCAACACACAGTCTCGCAAGCTGGAGATAAAAATGTTTTTACTGTACTACGTTGCCATTGCTCACTTTGAAATCGTTGAGTTTGTTAATGAAATATTCGTTATAGTTTTACAAAATATGAAATTTATAATAAAACAAATTCCAAATTTCAAATTTGGGCTTCCAGATGCCCATATTCGCAGGAGAATTATGTAATTCAAAATTTGATGGCTCTAGGTACCGTTGATTATCACAATGTGAGAAACATACATACATTTATGCAGATTCTTCATTATTTAATTTTTTTAAATATAATACAGGGTGATAATATATGGTGGCAACAATTTGAAAAGTGAATCAATGCAAAATGCCAAAACGAAATTAATAGTCCTGGGCAAATTGCCTCCTTTGGACTAATAATAAAATTCTATTTATCTCAATATAAATCTATAAAAAACTTCCCAAGGGAATAGTTTTAGTTTTTAATTCTTAGACTGGAATGTAACATTTGTTTCATGATATACTGCATATTTCTGAATATAAGACAATCTGTGTATGGTCAGAGATTGCATTTCTTCTTCAAAAATGTACCCAAAATTCAAAACCAAATACAAGACAAATGAAAAAAAAAAAAAAAAAAAATTCCTGTAGTGTTCAGACATGTACCCATGAGGGCGAAAATGTTGCTGAGCAAGTAAAACTTGAGAAATATTTTTTTAATCAAATCAGTGCAAAGTAAAACGTCTGATGCCAATGACGATAGTTTTAATTCTGGTAATTCTATCTGAAGTTAGCATATTTTTTCCATTCGTTTGTAGCATCTGTGTTACTTATATTTTATGCCATTTTTTATCTGAAATAGAGATCAAAGAGAAATTCTTATATTGCAAATTTCAAACTTTGCATTTGCTGAAAATTCTAACAGCTTGATGTTTCTCCATAATGGAAAACAAATTCTAGAGTGGAGAAAGCTAGGTACAAATTTTGCCAACATCTTGATTTGATGATATTACATTAGTGGTGGATATTATAGGAGTGCATGCAGTATATGAAACAATTATCCGCACAAAAAGAATAAAGAAAGAATCTTTAAAATATTGTTTTGATTTTATTGAAAATATGAATTTTCAACTCAATAAACATCTTTTTTTGAGACGCGTTTTATAATTCTTTATATCAGTTATAAAAATGATTTTGTTTTTTATTTTTTGTGATTGTAAGTTTATGATGCAACAAAACAGCATAACAGACAATTTTGAAAATAAAAAAACTCATTTTCATAAAACAAATAACTCATTACATTTAAAATAATTTTTTTCATAAATCTAAAAAATTTAAACTACACTCATGTCCATAAATTAAGGATGACGCAAAATCATTCAAAGGAAGAGCAAACCAAATTTGACTTATTTGTAAAGCTTATTTATTAAAGGAAAAGTAAAGAGCAAAAAAAGATGCTATATGTTTGATATTATTAAAAAAATTACAGATTTTTCTCCCTGGAGCAAATTACAAAAAAAAAACCTATTTACAAAAAGCCAATATTACATGGTTGGTATGATTGTTAATACATTGTATGTCTCCCAGACGATGCAATACAGTCCGTACAACCCCTAGGCTTGCTGAGTATCAAATTATCAATCTGATCTTGGGAGATATTACACCACTCAAAAGCAATGCTCTCCGAAGTTCCGGTAGACATGTAGGAAGAGGTTGACGGGCTGCAACTTGTCGGCCAAGCATGTCCCACACCTGCTGTACTGGATTCAAGTCCGGTGAGAATGCTGGCCAGTCCATATGGGTGATATCCTCTGACTGAACGCATTCGCTTACGATGCTTGCACGGTGAGGACGGGGGTTGTCATCCATAAAAACAAATTGCCCCGAAACAAATGTACATGTTGTTCCAGAATGACGTCCCGATAGATTTGGCTTGTCATGGTTTCAATTTGAACATGCAGGTCAGTTCTGGAACCCATAATAATTCCACCCCAAAGGAGCACTCCTGCACCACCGTAACGATGTCGTTCAATGATGTTTTCTTGGTGGTAACAGGTACCTGGAGCTCTCTATATGAAAGTCCGGCGAGAATCAGATTGCAAGCTAAACCTGGACTCGTCGGAAACATCACACAAGCCTACTCTTGTGGGGCTCACACAATGCATGCTCTCTACCCACACAATGCATGCTCTTTACTCCAGGCTAACCGCAGGCAACAGTGAGTTGCAGTAAGTGGAACGCACCTGACAGGTCTACGAGCATATAGACCAATCTGCCCTAAGCGTCTGTACACGGTCTGCCTTGAAATTGTCGTACCAGTGGCTGAAAGAGCTGATGAGACAGGTCTGAGGCTGTGTTCCGCCTTTTTCTCTTGGCAGTAACTGCCAAATTCCGGTCCACATTCGGCGTTGTAACTCTGGGGCGACCTGTGCTGTAATGTCTACTCACATTACCATCATCTTGGATCGTTGCCAAAGCCTGAAGAAGACACTCTGAGCAAGTCCAAGTTCATCTGATACTTCCAGTTGGGTACGCCCACATTCCAGACGGCCGATAATTCTACCACGTAAAAAATCCTCCAAATGCGTCCTTTGTGTCAAAACTATTCGGTTATTGCACTGAAAGACTTATAAAGCGCCTGCGAACAATTATACTTCTTTGCCTGTATTCCTTATATATCACTCTCTTACACTCTCATCATTGTGACGTATCATCGGTGTCATCTGGTTACTTCCTGAAATTTGCATATGATTCTTGAAGATGTGTGTAGTGATTTTACAGGTGATACATTTATTTTAGAGTTCGATTTCCACGTGACTCCGAATTATCCTTAATTTATGGACATGAGTGAAAATAAATAAAAAAGTGTGACATTCAATGGTTTATCATTTGTGCCTGGCAAATGGAAAAGTGTCTACATTTTCTGCAAGATTAACAGATCCGCATGTAAGCTGACCCCTGTAATTTAAATTTAGGAAAAGTTCAAAAAATTTTTGGTTCATACATGGAAATATACAGTAAATATATACTGGATATATTTATGAAGTAGCAGATTTACAGAAAAAAATAACAAATGAAGTTACAAACACAGCTCTTATTATTTATTATAAGCCATTAACCTGAATTTATAATAAAATTACAATCATTGCATAATAATAAAATTTTCATGTGAAACTTTAAATAAAGCAGTAAAAATCTATTTAAAATGCAGTAATATAGAATAATCTAGATTATTCAAACAAATGTAGCATACCTGATGCTTCTCAAACAATATGGTAGCCAAGGAGTTAAATTTTCTGATTTGGGCCAGGTACCTAAAATCTGAAGTTGATGAACAGACAAAGCATGCAACGTATCCGGCAGTATAGCCATACGTATCAAAGAACATAATTTCTTGGTTACTTCTACAATCATGTTCTGAAAATAAATACTTAAAAGCTTTCTTTCACATAAAATTACAGTTACCCAAATATCAATACACAACATTATAACAAATTTCATTTTTAAAGGTAAATTAAAGACATATATCTTACTTTAAATTGAATATTTTTTGGAATTCCAAGCTTATCAGCATTATCTGTGCTCTAGAAAGAAAATATATACATACATATTAATTTTTAAAAATAAGAATAACATTAATGTTTCATAAGATACTAGAAATAATAGAAAATTATAACACTTATTATTTCAATCAGTGCAAAGCAAAGGGGAGCAAGGAGATGTATCAAGCAAGTGACATCACATGCAAACATGTGCTTTCTTTTAACGTCGGAATATGACCTTATATATAACAATAATATGTTTAATGCTTGGCAATTCGAAAGCAAGCAGTAGCAAAAATTTTATGAAATGAAGCATTTTTATCTCTAATGCATGAGACTGCTGCCATTCGGAAAAATGAGTGTGAAAATTAGTGTTTCCACAGTTTTTAATTAATATCTCGTCTGATTAAAGTCGTATGATGATGAGAATAGTCCAAATTACTTCCCACAAATTTTTGGAATCCTGAATAATATATCAAATGTTTGGCACTGCTATTTTTATTTCGTATTTTGTAAAACTTACAAATTTTTTATGAACAAACAGCACAATTTGAAACTGAACAGTGACAACACTTTTCAAAATAAAGCACATCTCCAGCATGTGAGACTTTTGCCATTCGGAAAAATGAGGGTGAAAATTAGCATTTTCAGAGTTTTTAATTAATACCTCAGCTGATTAAAGTCATGCAAATTAAGAATGGTCAAAATGGCTTCCCATGAACTCTTTTGAAACTCAATTCCCTGCCATTACGGAGGAGAAAATGCTACAAACAAACAGACATACAGATACTCACAGATTTTTAATAGTATAGATTGTTTGCAATCTACAATAAAGTAAGTTATCCTTTTTATATTTTATTTATTGTTCAAAATTAATATCTTAATTAATATAATAAAAATTAATTTTTTATTTAGACCATGACAATGCCAAGGAAAAAACTTAGTGATTCTCAGAATACGAAAAGAAAACTACAGCAAGAAAAAGAAGCCCAGAACTTCAGAATAAGAATAGAATCACATTTAGTAACCAAAAAAAAAAAAAAAAAAATTACAAAAATAAAAGTTAGAAGACTCCTACTGCTGCTAAAATTCTATGTGATAACATATCACAACGAACACAAGACTCTGAGGATGATGAAGATGGGGGCCTAAGTACATCAGAAGCTCCAAATCCATGTCCGTATCTAATAAGAAGTATAGAAAATGCAACAGAAACACTCACTGTAATTCCAGACATTCTGGAGTTATGCAGCTAAGCAATAAAGATATTGCTTACTTAAAATTCACAAATGATCTTCCAATAATAACAAACCAACTTCACACAGAAATGGTTATTCACATGGATCAAGCATATTTCAAAATGAATCCAGTCTAAATGCTAATATCAAAATCAGCTAATCTTCTAATCTTAGCTTTCTTGGTGGGTCGATAATGAAGAAGAAACTGAAATTAACCGATCTTGGTTATTATATTCACCAAAAATAATGCAGTATACTGCTTTTATTGCTAACTATTTATTACATGAAATTCACAGTTTCTTTCGTAACAGCATGTGCTTTTAATAAATGGAAGAAAAAAGATAAATTGATTAGCCAAGTCCAAATGATTGAAAATCGTTTACACCTTGAAAAGAAACAGAAAGAAGATTAATTAATAAAACGGAAATTGACCAATCATTTGAAGCAAATATATACAGATCGAAAAAGAACTGTGGCGAAATATATTGCAATTAATATTAGCTTGTATGAAGTATCTGATTATACAAATTCTTTTTCTATGTGATCATATTCAGAATCTAGTGCTTCAAGATCGTACAAATGTCAGAAATTTATTATCTTTACTTAAACTTGCAGTTCAGTTTGGTCCACTACTATAGCTAAGCATGTTAAAAATGTCATGGAAACACCAAAAACTATCTCATGCCTATCACTACAGATTCAAAATAAATTTATTCATCTTTTGGCATCCACAGTTTGAAATCAACTAATAAATGAAATCAAAAATAAGGCTTACAGACTTTTATTTGATTCGACTGCTGATATCGCTCATTGCGAATAAATGTTGCAAGTCTTTGGGTATATAGATATTTATTTTACCAATACAAAAGTTTCTATCAAAGAATCTTTTTGGGGATTTATTGAAATACATGCTAAAAATGCAGCCTCAATTGAAAATCTAAAAATTAAAGTCCAATCAGATTTCATTAACAAACTGTAGGTCACAATGTTATAACAATGCTGCCTTGATGTTACGTCACATATCTGGCATTAAACAAAGAATTATGAGAAAAATAATACAGCATTATTTATAATTGTGATATCCAGTTATTAAATTTAGTAAGAGTTAGTGCAGCTAAGAAATATACAATCATTGTAACATGTTTTGGAATAATTGAAAACATGTCTTTTCCTTGTGTTCAACATTATGATGGGAATTATTAAAAAATACTTTAAAATTGTTAAGCATGCATATGATGGAGTGCCAGAGCACAAGCGATTAGCATTTTTGTAGATGGGCTGGAAGAATTAGAACTATTAGAAAAATTGGCAGAGGGCAGTACTATCATAAGTGACACCAGATGTGAAGCTGCAGTTTTATTGCAAAATAAACTGAATTTTTATTTCATAACTTTAGTCCATTTCTGAGATAAAATCTTGAGGAGAACTGATCGTGTACAGCTCAGATTACAAGATCCTAAAATGAATTTCAGAGAAGCATTCCATGATCTTGTATCATTATCGACTGGACTAGCAGAAACTTGAGATGAGATCTGTAAAGAGGCAATAGAAGAAGCGAAATCCATTGGTGAAAAATGGAGTATTGATACAAAATCCATGTTAGAAGATGTTGAAAAATGCCCGAAGAATTAGCTAGAAATGTTGGCCTTTCCCCAAAAAAGTGAAATTTCTCACATTATGGAAAGCATTCTTGATTGTCTGCAGCAGGAAATAAATACACAATTTACACAACTAAATGATATTACTTCCAAATTTGGATTTTTACTGGACTTTGGAAATTTAGAAATTTATTAAACAATGATAATATTGATAATGATCTTGAAAATAATTGTAAAAATCTGGATGAATTATATAAAACAAACCTTAATGGAACAGAACTTTATGTCGAAATGTGTGACTGCAAGATTTTTCTCCACAGTTGAAAAAAAATTGAACCTAGCACTTCATTACAGCTTCTTACCCTTATAATCTCGTATAGAGAAAATGTTTTCTCCAAACATGAGAGAGTTCGCACCAAGGAATTGATACAGTATTTCAGTATCAATTCCTTGGTGCGAACATTCGTTCAAGCAAATTAAAATTAATTTTGACATATCTACGATCAGCAATGGGTCAAGATCACCCAAAGTTATCTAGTACTTTCAATGTGCAAAAACAAAATTTTAAAATAATGATGAAGTAATTTCTAAATTTGCTTCGTCAAAGATGAGAAAAATATCTACATAATAATCAATTGAATTAATGTATTATATTTTTATTATTATTATATATCTACTTATATATCATATATATTAACTTTTTTCATTGTTTAAAAACTGCATGCTTTTTAAAACAATCATATAAATATGTAAAACAATATCTTTTTAACTAATTCTAGCTGACAGTATGTCCAGTTTTTCCACTGATACAGACACATTTAAGAATCCAGTCCTAATCTTGAGTTAACTAGTTTTCTTTCTTTTTTTTTTTTTTTTTTTTTTTTTTGTAAACTAGTTTTCTTTTTGTAAACTAACTAGTTTCCTTTTTTTTTTTTTTTTTTTTTTTGTGTGTGTGTGTGTGTGTGTGTGTGTCTCAAACTAAAGCCTAATTTGAAGCTCTGTGCCTCTTCATAACAAAAACAGTACAGAATATTGCAGAAGCATAGTTAGGTAGTGACTAGTTGTAGTATATTACATAGTATTTTAAGGTAAACACTGTATTCTTTTATGATTTTTGTTATATTCTTATTATGAGGATATTCTAAATATATTACTACAGTCAAAAGCCGTTAATCCGGACTCGTCGGGACTTCGGCGATTCCGGATTATCGATTTTTCCGGATTATAGATCATTAGTTTAAATCTCGTAAGATGGCATGCAGAAATTCTAAAATTAAAAATATGAAACCGTAATTTATGAAATAAAGAACAATTATGATCTAAAGGGTATCAAAATTTGCAAAAAGAAAAAGCTTAATATTTATTTGTTTACTTTATTAAACATTTCTTTCAATGTAAGTTGTTTAAGTTTTGCTTCGTTTCATGTGATAATACTTTCTCTTTAATTCTATTAAACAGACATAATTTCTTGTTCAGTTACAAAGTTCCGCCGTTCAAGTCCTATAATTGCTGTGTCGAGAACACCGACTAATTTGTCAATCGAAATTTTTTTGTTTTCAATAACCTCTGTCACTTTTCTTCGCTATCGGAAGCGAATTATAATGACGAGGAACTTGTTTTAAATCATATCAAAGACGGAGCATATCGAGATGAAATACTACATTTGGTAAGGAATTATAAGCCAAATAAAATAAAAACATCTGCGCTGAAGATAAGGATAGTGCTGACAAAATCAACTTCCAATTCATTACGCGCCCGCCCCCCGCCGAGCAGCGTGAAATTGATAAACAGATTTCGGATTTCAAAACATACTTTCGCTTTAGATCCTTTACATATTAACAAATATATATCGGAAATTCTATTTGATATAATCGAAAGTTTAAGCTTACTTTTATAAAATTGCTCTTACAGTCTGCAAAAATAATAAGCCGGATGCAATTCGAAAATTAAGGAACAACGCAATCATCAACATTAACTGAAATAGATAATTATTTAGCTTATACGTCCATTATACATAAAATACGCACGCGAAAACGTATTCTGCACTTGCGCACACTCATATGTGCAGTCGTAAAAGGTCTTACGCGCACGCGTGAACGCCTCTGCGCATGTGTCAACGCGGCGCATGCGCAGAAAGTTTTTAGTTTTGATGTCCGGATTATAGATCATTCCGAATTATGGGTGTCCGAATTAACGACTTTTGGCTGTATATGTTTTTTGTGGGGAGGGGCTCCAGAAAGGTGTTGCACCCAGGGCACCAGTTACATTCGCTACACCACTGCTTTTGGTATATAATAGCTATTTATTCTCAGCCAAAACATATTCAGAATAACTGAAAACAAAGAATATATAATTAAAAATAAAGCAATGCTTGAAAATAATTATAAAAATCTGGGTGAATTATATACTTCTACACCAATGAATAATTATAAATTCTTTTGTTATTGATACATTACGAATATTAATCTTGAAGAATAAGAATATTCACCATAAAACTAAATGTGTTTCTTTTATTATATTGATTGTTTCCCTTTTCAGCATTATTTTGGAACTGCCATACTGTAAAATGATTAAGAACTTTTGCTTTGTTCATGATTTATAACTCAGTTTGTCAAACATAATGAAAGTGAAAAATATATCTTTTATTAATATTTTTAATACACTCTTTCTATGCCATATGAAAGAACGACATTTCTATGAAATAAGATAAAGAACTAAAATTATTGTTTATTAGTATGGAAAGAATAATTTACTTTTCTTAGAGTCAAGAATAGCTAGACAAATAAATCATATAAAATAATGGTAAATGAGAATTCAAAAAAACATTGGCATGATAAATGCACAGTGTACCAGAAAAATTTGTATGGTATTGATTCTGGGGTGATATCGTGGCTATGTCAATGACTGAATTGATTGACTAACTACTAAAATGTTGACATTTAAGTTGTAATTTGTAAGCAACTAATTGACACAAAAATCAAATAATTGTAAAAGACAAAATGTTTTAAAGGAAAAACAAAATTAATTGTAAAATAATAAATGATTTTAAGAAAAAAACAAAATAATTACTGTCATTGCATGGAGATTAATTGATTTATCAAGGGAACAAATCAATCCCCATTCAATAATCAATAACCAAAAGAAGCGATTATGTTTCATCACTAACACATAATTTAAATATTTTTCCTCAATAGCATTAAAGATCATGTTTTTTTCCTATTCTTCCTAAAAGATAATTAAGGAAATTTTATATATATATTTCATTTTGTAGGTGATTTTGCATGTTAAAAAGAGAATAAAATTCACATTTTTTTTCAAAATTAGGTAATGGAGGTTCCTAACGCATATGACTCAGTTACATATGCAATATATTCTTTGTTTTTATATTATTCTGAATATGTTGTGACTAAGATTAAATAAAAACTAAATAGAAATTATGTGAAAAAGTTATTACCAATGCAAGTTGACAATTAATTTTTAATGATGCTAAATAATTTGTATTAAAGATAATTCCAAAGTTTTTTCATTTTGTTCTAAACTCAAATTGATTAACTAAAAACATCATTATTCAATGAAATATTAATATAAATAACTTTTGAACATTATTCATATTACCTCTCTTATATGTAGCTGCCCTCCAAGATAAGCTTGTCCTAATTTCCAGAGGTTTGGGAAATGTTCAGTGAACTGATCTGTAATATCTACAATAAATTTAACTACTTGAGGCATATCAGTCTGAGAAAGGTTTGTCAGATTTTCTCTGTTTTCAGCCATTGAGGAAGCTATAATAATAAAACATGTCTTTATCAGTATTGATTGCTTTTTGCTTAAGAAATACCCTTTTTTTATTTTCTTAATTATATATAATAAACAACATTAAGATAAAATTTCTATAAAATTATTTTCCATCAGAACAGGCTTTTCCAAATTTTTTTGGAAATATAGAAGAAATTTTGAGAAATAATTCTCATTCTCAATTCTCTGTGCTTTTAAATTTTCTATCAGATCTTTCTGAACTTATTCAAATGTAAGCCTAAAAATCTTAGAATAAACTTTTACCATCTAATAAAGTATGAAATATGTAAAAGTAATTTTCGCTAAAAATTTTTAATGTCTTCATCAATCTTAGGTAAGAGGAAAAGTAGTTAAGTTTATTAATCTTTAGCAAAATCAACCTAAAAAATTTATTTTTACAGATGAGTTCTGTCAGTTACAAATTCTATATATTTTGCCATTCATTTCCAATTTTTATTGAAATTATCCAATTCCTTTTTGTCCCCTTAGTGTTCTAGTCATGCAAAAGAACTTTAGTTTTGGCACAACAGTGTATCAGTAATCTTCAATTTTTTGCCTTTACTGTTTTCACGCATTAAACGTTTGCTTCTCTAGTCAATTATTAACAAGGAATGAGTTGACTGAATATTTCTCAAACATTATAACCATCAGTTGTAATACTGTAACTTATAGAAGCTTCTTATCACAGATTATTGACCAAGCAGTTAAAATATGTTTCAGTTATATTCTTCTACACCAATGAATAATTATAATCAAGTTTCTATTAAGCCAAAATTTTTAACTGCTTTTAAATATTCTATTACTCCAATGAATAATAATAACTAAATTACTATTCCATTCTTTCCCACTGTCAGTTACAAAACTGCTCATACTGACAGAAAGTTGCCTTTCAGAGAGGTTCTCCTTTCTCTTGGCAATAAAATATGCAATTCTGCCCTTATATATCATATTTCTAACATGAATTCTTGAATTCATAGTATTCCTTATTAATGCAGATTGATATATATTGGATAAGTAAAATGAGCTTTAAAATTTCCCATCAAGGAACATTAAATTTTATGTTTGAAGAAAGGAAATAAATAATCTCTTACTATTGATCTGCAAACCACAAATTCAACTTCGTTTTTGCCAAAATCATCTAAACACATCCTGTTGTTTAGTCATCTAGTTGATGAGTTAAGACTTTTTAGGCTTTCCATATGCATAAAAATCTTTCTATCTTAGTTTATGACTTAAATTATAATTTCTTTCTTTTACCCATCTATAAAATAAACTCTAGTCAATTTTCCACCACTTGCTTTGTTTCATTTCTTACTTTTCACTTTCGTAACAAAGGTCATCATTTTTAATGAATAGCAAGTTCATGAAAATTCATTAGTTTCTCTTTTTATTTGCAGTACTTCTCTCTCATTTAGTTGCAGATGAAACAGATGCTAGTGCTCTTGCTAAATGTACTTTTGCTAAAATAAAATCTACATCAATTAACATTGATTTTCTTGCACTTAGTTTTATTTGGCGTGTTGTTCTTTTCCATGAATTATAAGAGCTAAAATTGTTTATTAGTTCAAGTTTCAGAAATCAATGAGAATATATTTAATCAAAAATTAATGTTTTGGTCATAAAATTCAAACTGTTTTTTATTGTTACAAACATTAGTTTATAATAATGTCTCTCATAAAAAAATGCAAATATGTTGTATATTTTAAATTCTTTTTACCTACATTCAAATTTTAAGAACTCGTTTAATAGTTTCTAAGCATCTCACAATGTTAATTAAATGAAAGGTACTCACTAAACCAATCTGGCTAGCTCTGGCAACATTTGGTGCAAAGGTAATTAAACTGAATTTTCGATATAAAATTTTGTTTTAAAACTGGCTTAATTTCACTTAATTGTTCTAATTCTTAAGTAATCTGAAATCTTGCTTAATCATTAACTCCAGAGTCATTTTCCCAATAAGCACCAAAGGTTCTATTAAAAAAATTATATATTTTCTTTAACAAGCAGAATATTTCATTATACCAAGAGCTATATGTTTATCCTTAGTCTTATTCAGTACATTCAATAGCCAAGTTTTATTATGGCAAACACACTGCCATGCTGGATCTGATGGAGTCTCTAAATTAACCAAGAATCTGTAAGAAAATGAAATTCAAGAATCATTTTTAAGATTTAGCAAATTTAAAATTTTAAGATCCTATGAAGATTTTGAAAAATAATCTCCAAATTACTTTACTAAGCGCTTTTGTTCTTCAACAGTGGATGGCTGTTCTTTTAACTTCTCCAATAGCATATCACGAAATTGCTCAATCCTTTGCTCAACTTCTTGATATACTGTTAAAAATAATTTAAAGAAATACATTTCAGATAAATATTGCCATCTATGTGAATATCAATTATATAATCTTAATTCAATATCTCAGAAATAAGATTTACCTCTTTTAAAAACTGCAACTTCAGTATCATGGAATAAAGATTTGGCTCTTGCATAGTCATTTATAACTATTTCATAATCTCCCTGAATTAGAATATTCAAATAATAAAGTTTTATTCTATATTTTCAAAACACAGAAAAATAATTTTGTAATACATATCATTACAAATGTATCTTTTCATAAAAGATATAAGACAATAGTTATTACAACATAAAACATACTATAAAAAATTTATCATTATTATCACAATTATTAACACCAGAAAGTAATCTTTCATTACATTATAAAGTTTAAAATTTTAAAACATGACCAAGATGTACTGCATAACAATTATGCATAACAGAATACTATTCCGACTTACATAAAAAAAAAAAAAAAAAGCTATTGATAATTATTTTTTTAGAATAAAGAATTATTGGAGAGATAAAAATTTCATAAAGAATTTATTGGAAAGAAGATGAACATTTATACAGCATGATCTATAATGATATGAATATATTTCTTAGTAGAATTATAATAATTTAACCTTTTGAGGCCGGGCTTTGGTAGCAGTAAAAGCTACCAAAAGACAGGAAATCTTGAACCAAATGCTTTCCCCCCTTTAAGAAATCACCTCCTATTTGCAACAAAGATTCTTGTGTAGTTTAATGGATTCTCAGAGGGGTGCATCTATGTCACAAAAGGGAGATCTTTGAAAGAGATAAGTGGTTGAAACCCCAGGGACATCAAATTTGACATTTCACCCCACTTTTCAGCCTGTAAAATGGGGGAAAAAGACATGGCCATTAAAGTGGACAACCCCGTCCATTCAAACAGGGAATACACCTGCCAATATATTGGCCATCCGTCTACAAAAGGTTAAACTACCAACAGTATCAATAGATAATAATTTGAAAGGTTCACTTACAGATAGTAAGGCTTGCATTAAACCAAATTTCTTTTGTTTACTTTTCTTATTAAGCTGGCATTTTTTACAATGTTTATAATAATTTCAAACATCTTTTACTATACCTGCCCAATAATACATAGGGGACAACAAATTTAACAAGGAAGATACACCGATATGACCAAATTCAATATGAGCTTTTTCAAGTAACTTAGACATTAGAATTGCAATTTTATACAAACCTTGTTTTTTCATAGTTAACATATTATTAATTTTGTTGTACTTAGGATTACAAACATCACCAACATTTTGATGTTCTTTTATATCCTATAATGATAGTAAATTATTTTGTACACACAAATGTTGGGAAATGAGATTTCTAGTTAACATATCAGCTTCAATATTAGTAGAACCTTTCTTATATTTGATCTTCAAATCATACATAGAGAATTTTAACAACCATCGAATTAGTCTTCCTTTAGGATATTTTATGTTTTTAAGTCAAACTTCATGCAGTCTTAAGCAGCATGATCAGTATGCACGGTAAAATGATTTCTATGTAAACAGTAATAAAATTTGCCAATAGCATCTACAATAGGTAAACATTCTAATTCAATGATAACATAACTGTTTTCATAAAATCTTAATTTTCTAGAGTGGAAAGCTATAGGGTGTAAATTATCATCTGGGTACTCTTGTTTTAGAATTGCACCAACAGCTTCTTTAGATGCATCTACAAATACATGCCAAGGATATTTTGAGTTAAACAAAGTTAAAATGGGCCTGGAAAATAAAGCATCTTTTTAAATTTTTAAAGGCTGTCTGGCATTCAGGCTTCCATTTATATATATATATATTAAGTATATTTGTTAGTGGAGCTCTAATTCTTGCATAATATGGAATAAATTTATGGTACACTTTAATACTGCCAAGAAATCTTTGTAATTCTTTAATATTTTTAAGGGGTTGTAATTTTTTAGTAACTGCAATGCTTGCATCACTGGTTCGATATTTTCCTGCTCATATCCTAGATAATTTATTTTCTCTGAGTGAAATTTTGACTGTTTTAATTTTATGTTTTCTTTTTTACATATATCAACTATTACTTTAAGATGCTGTAAGTATTCTTCAAAATTCTTAGAAAATACTATAATCATAAAAATAATTCAAAGCAAAGTGAATTTGGTATTTATTTAAGATTTGTCGAAAAGCTTTTTGAAATACAACTGGGAAATTTTTCCAATCAAAAGGTTATCTCTATTAAATTCATAAAGAACAAAATTAGTTGTAAATGCCAATTTTTCAGTATCTTTTTTCATTTAATTTCATATGCCAATAAACAGATGCCAAATCTAAGGTGGAAACCACTTTTGCATTAATTAATTTCTCTAGTACTGCAGCTATTCTAGGTATGGGTTTGGAATCTGTTTTAGTAATTTGATTAAGTTTTATGTAATCAATATATAATTGAATTTTTGCATTTTCATCTCTTTTATATGCTAATGTTACAAAGTCAGCATAAGGACTAAAGCATGCTTCTATAATACCTGCATGCAATAATTTGTCTATTTGTTTTCACTATTATCCTTAGGGGATGCTTTATATGGTCTTTAAGCTACAGGAATTTCTGAAGTTTCTTTTCTACAGGAATTTCTACCCTTGGAGGTTCAATATTTATGCAACCTACAGCATATTTACTTTTTGCAAAAATATAACAATAATTGTAGTAAATAAGCTTTATAATTTAATCTAGCAATTACCTCTTAATTCCTCATTTTAAATTTGGATATTTCCTCTCTGTATTCCAAAAATGGTAATAACTTTAATGTTATTACCTGGAATGTTCACTTTTAGATCATTTTATGTCACATTCCTTGCATAGCACATTGACATAGCTAATTCAGAAGCTGAGTTCAAAATTTCGAGAACTAAAATTTTCTCTTAATAAACAACCTAAACCAAAATCTTCTCTTAATATTGTTTGCCATGCTGGATCATTGTGCACTTTAGCTTCTACCTGTGTTTCCATTAAGATGCTGGATGGCTTCTCTCTTCTGATTGCAACAGCATAAAAAATGTAAATGTTCTTGAATAGGCAGGATTAGAGTGCCAAGTAAATTGTGGCTGCAAATGTCAGTTGAAATAAAGATAAACATTTAATATACCTTGACTGCTATGTTTGTTGTTCATTATGGATTCAATTTTCTATGTTCTATGCCATCAGTATTACTACCTCTTTTCCTATTACATATATGCATATATATATTAAATACCGACCAGCATGAAATATCATTCAAAACTTTTAAAATTAACTCACATTTAAGTTACATTAGAATCTAATATTCACAGGTTGGAAAGAATAAACAGGTTTATAGCAGCTACCCACTTTTCGAATATTCTTTTCAATATTGGCAGGCAGATTAAACAGAAACCGAAATCTCTGCAAAACACTAAGAGCATTTCGAGTGGAATCTGCTTTTTCTTTTCTAGTAAGCATTTCTTGGAATAGCTCAAATGCTTCTTCTTTTGATTCTGAAAATAAAAACAGAAAATATACTTGTTTTAATCAAGTCATTCAATTTTTCAATATCGCCCCCCCCCCAAACAGTAAAAATTTACTTTGTATAGCTTGCTCTGCAGGAAAAGCCAAATCAACATCAAGAGCCTGCACATCCTTCTCCAGTGTTGACTTTAATGCTGAAAAATTTTTAATTTTTAGTTAACATATTTATGCAAAAGTTGAGTAAGAGTAATGTTTAAACTCACTTTCCAGAGCTTCTAAACATGACATGATAGAACTGACGTTAGATTTCATAAAAGCTAATGGCCCTTCATCATGTGTCATAACCTTCCTTCTCAAGAAAGCAAGTCCAGTTTTTAAGTCATCAAAGCTTCAAAAGAAACATTTTATTAATCAATTAGCAGCAAAATTAAAAATGTGGAGTCCTGAAAATTCTGTATAATGCATCAATCATATTATACAATTTGCTTTACCATGAAATAATTTCAGTATTTATTTAATATTCCAGATCACATTTTCCTGGCAAAAATCATGAAATTAATTTATGAATTTTCCATCAGAAAATTAAAGCAACCATAAAAAAAAATTACAACAAAGTACCTCAGAAAACCTGAATTTACAGCAAAAGAATTGCATGCTATACAAAAGATTAAATACGAAACAAACTGCAATCCTAATAACATTTTCATTTCTGCTATTGCATATTGTTGTCCATTAAAAATTAAACATTAAAAAAGTTTTATGAAATGACTGTTTCCAGTGGACACAATTCTATTGCCACCACAACTGAACTGAGGGGTTTCCTTTTTTCACCATAGAAACCCTGATACATATGTGCCCAAATGCTACCTTGTAGTACTTCCTATTTCTTGCTATGTTATTAGCTGCAGCCTGAAGGTCTTTCAATTTTGATGAGTATACAGTCTTAAATAGAATACCACATTCATGAAAAACAGCTATCACTTTTGGCTCCACTGACAATTTCAAAGCTATAACTCGATTATCATTATAAATTAAATGCTTATAGAGAATTTTCTTCTTTCTCACTGCATACCTTCATGGTAAATGGAAGCACATCTGGCTAGAGACTGAGGGAACCAAAATTTGAATCCTGGAGAGAGCATTGCTGATTTCTTCATGTTTCCTAGCTTAAAAAAAAATTCTAATCACTTTACAAGGGCAATCAGCTAATCCAGGTGTTGACAATATGATAATATGTCAACACCTGGATTTAATGACTGGATCCTTGCCTCTCCAGTTCCCCTTTAAGTGATAAAGAATTTTTCCCTTTCTCACTGCATGCCTTTGTGATATAATTGGTACCCAGAGTCGTAGCTAGGGTTTTTAGTGCCCAGGGACAACTGAAGATTTCACGCCCCCTACTGCTTGCCAAGAATGGAAAACATTTAATTCTAAAATATTGTAACATCAGTTTGGCGCCCCTTGGATTCTGCGCCCGGGGGACAGATGCCCCCCTCTAGCTACGTTCCTGTTGGTACCATGTCCAAGTAGCAGTGACAAAAGCCAAAATTTGAATCTCACCAAATTATCATTGATTTTTCATGTTTCTTGTTTCAAAAAAGCTTAACACACTCTACATGCTTAGCTGCTGAGATGCAAAGAAATAGCAGCAGGATTTATGCATCAAAATATCAGAACAAAAAAAAAAAAAAAAAAAAAAAAAAATGCACCAGAGTTGTCCCTTTCATAGACAAAAAAATAGAGAAGGAACAGAAAGTTTACTAGAATATTAGTGCAGCTAAAATTACTGTCTGCAAGCTAAAAGTGTTGCTGGCATAAAAAAAGAATTATTGTGAAGAAAATGCAACTTTGAAATGTTGCATTATACGTTGTAACTTGTATTGCAGAAAATACAGTAATTTCTTTCTTATACATACTATTTGATTTACTTCAACAGTAAAGTTCTATTGTATATTTACTTTTAATCTGATAAACAACTACACTTAATTGACATTAAAAATACACGCATTAACATCCAACTTACCGAGCCCCATGATGGTTTTCTAAAAGATACCAAGTAGGTTCAAAATTTTGAAATAGAATGTCCCCACTTCCTATAAATTTAGAGAGAAGTGTATTCGTTAATTACTTTAGCAGTATTTTAATCAATAGTAATTAATAATAATAATTTTAATCAATAATAATAATTTTTTATTTTCTACATGATTAAAATACTTTAGCAGTATTTTAATCATGTAGAAAAAAAAAACAAAGAAAAACACAGAACTACTTAACAGCTACCATAATAATTTTTTATTATATAATCCTAATAGATTTCATGTTTATAAAAAAAAGAAAAATCCAAATTTATAGATATTAACATATAAAATTTTCTAAGATTAATTTACATCTTTCAACAAAATATAAATTCTTAATTGTTCATTTAATCAATTATGGGAAAATATGTGACGGTTAACTGCTAAAAGGGAAGGATACTTTGGTCTACATATAAATATTAAGAGACTCAAGACTCAAATGCATATGTAACAATAAATGAGGGAATAATGAGAAAGTCTCATTTATTAATCTCTATCTCTGAAATATAAAATATGTCATTTATTTCATGTCATAACACTAAATTCAAGATACTTCAAGGTAAATTTTAGCTTTCTGCTTTTTATCTAATATTTGTATTAAAAAAAGAAAAGATACTTGTAAGTTATAACAGCCTAAGCAAATGGTACATTCAGAATTGGCATTTGTCAGCCTAGGCTAAAAACTGAGTTATCAATCTGCACATGCCCATGTATTTTCTGGTAGTGAAAATTTTCTTTGTTTTTCGCTGCCAGATATTTAACATGCTTACTATTTTCAATCTTTTATAAACAGGAAAAGATGCTACAGTCTCCCCCAAGAAAAAGGTATTTTACCATTTGAAAAAGCCTGTGAAAATGTCCATAGTACATGCAATTGTATATTAAAAAGAAAACATTTTATGCATACTAGAAATTCACATTTTTAATATGTTTTGAATGCTGTAGTTATAAATCTTGTAAGTTTCTATACATTGTAAGCATTTATTTGTTGTGTGTTATATAAACTATCTGTATATGTTGGAGTAATTCTGGATATGTTTCTCCATGTTCTTAATTTTAATAAATTACTGAAAAAATTGTTTTAAATAAGAAATAGAAATTTACATTATATGGCTTCCATATATGTATACTACACAAGTTATATACTTTAGACATCAAATGTATCATTAAGTATGTATTTCTTGCTAAGGTTAAATTATTAAGATACAATAACATGCCGAACAAATATTAATTTAGAAGTCAAACAACAAAAATCAGCATTATATTTTCAAATTTTCACAGGACTAGTTTCGATGGTTTACCGAACCATCAAAACTAGTCCTGTGAAAATTTGAAAATATAACTCTGATTTCTGTTGTTTGACTTCTAAATTAATATAAGGTTAAATTATGTCAATACACAATTCTCGCCAATAGCTACAACCGACAAGTACCCAAAAAAATCCATGTACTCCAAATCTTGATATGTCTGGTTTTAAATGTGAAAAATTCAAATACTATTGATCTTTTCAAGACTTTCAAATAGGAGGAATTTTCAATGCAACAATTTTCAGAATACCGCAAGCAGTAGCAGATTTATGACATGCAAGGCCCACCTCAATTACACTTTTCGAGGCTCTTGTCTTTATACACAGTGTACAAATTGACTACTTTTTTTTTAAAGTACACAATGATTTGGCATTGCTTACATTTATTACTTGCATAAACCTAAATATCCACTCTAATGTCCTGTCTACAATCTTAGTAGAAGTGAAAAAACACATTTCTGATGTAACAAGTTTGTTACATTAGAAATGTGCTTTTGTACTTATAAGTTGCATTTTTCTAATGTAACATAATATCCCACCCTTACTTTATAATATATATATATATATAAGTAGTACATATATATATAAGTAGTTATAGTTAAAAAATATAATAACACTCTATTTTGGTTTCTCCAAGAAATTGTTTAAATATAACAAGTTTTTAAAACTTGTGCACCCTAAACTAGAATGATCCTTTAAAAACAGACGAAGCAGTTTAAAAATATATATTTGATTATTTTTTGTTAGTCAATTGGATAAACCTTTCAGAATTGATTTTCAGTATTTCTGCTTCTCTATACATTTCTCATTTTTAGGTTTCAATATTATGCCAACAAAGGGTTGCATCCTGAACAGAATGATTCCTTTAAAAACAATATCAGCAGTTTAAATACATATATATATTTGATTCTTTTAGTCAATTTGATAAACATTTCTGAATTGATTTTCAGTATTTCTGTTTCTCTATACACTTTTCATTTTTAAGTTTTGATATTATGCACATAAATGATTAATAAGTTTAGATTTATTGGCAAGCACTTCCCAAAAGAAAGTGCTATATATTGCACACTGCAATAGTATTTGCATTGCTTTTAACAATTTTCAATGAATTCTTGTAGGAATTTTCTTCACTTGTTTACCTAAAATAATATAACAATTAGAAAATGCTAACTATTATATTAGTTTTTGTTATTTTCGAAGCATATTATATTTGAAAATTTTTATACTTAGAAAATGTTCATCAAAGCATGCATGTTAAATTACTTCCACAACTGCTATTTGTAATACTTTTCGTTTTTTCCTTTGCATATTGCTAATATGTAATTTTCAAAATTAAAAGACAAGGAAAGAGAATTGTCCCTCCCTTTCCAATTCTAACATTTATATGAAGATGAAAAGTATGAAGCATGAAATAATGTTCAGCAAAAGATAAATGAACGATGTTATATTTGATTAACATTAAAAGGACTAACATTAAAATCTAGTCAAGGACTAAGATAAAAATTTGAATTCAGAATACAATATACTTAGTATCACGAGGCATTCTTTTAATATTTGTAGTTAGCTTTGGCAGAATTCAGCATCTTAATATAATGCTTTAATAATATATTTATCAATTAACTGGCCATAGCAAAAGAATTTAGAGGAGTGTGAATAATATTTTTATAACTATTTGCATTTATCATTACAAATATAATGGGCAAAGTTATATTGACTCATAAATTTAAAAATATCTTATGCTAATTGACTTTTTTTACTTACCATCTGGAAACAATTCTTGTAATTCATCAATTGGGAATCTTTCCCTGACAAATAAAATTTTTTATCATCATGAATTATAGAGACAGATGTGAAAATATTAGTAACGGTATTACAGTGATTATTTACTATACTTACACACTGGATTCATCTGAGAGTCTCAAAGGATCATCTGGGTATAATTGAGAAGGTGAAGTTGGTCTATTCTTACCAAACCAAGATTCATCCACCCATATGGCAGATTCATCTGTTAGACCTTTAAAGAAATTCAAAGGAATTATTTTTATTGAGAAACTTATCAATTTTACAGTTTGTAAATTTGTAATTTTTTATCCAGCCTGGCAAATTTCTTTTTAATCTGTGCAAGTTGTACATAAAAAAATACTAATATTTTAAGTTTTAATGAATAAATTACAGATAAACATCTTAACTTAGATAATGGTATATCCTGTATACATCTTATTACAAACCTCTAACTTAAAGTTTAAAAATAACTTAAGGATATGATTTTAAATACTGTTTCATGGTTTACATGGTTTCAAAAATAATTAAGATTTAAAGTTTCTGTTAACACATCATTAGTGAAAATTTCTAAACTTTTTTCTCAAGTACTTTGTCTTAACGCAGGCTATTTTTCTTTTGAACCCATACTTGCACTTTTTTGGAGCCATATTAGCAAATTTTAGCTTATTTCATTCCTCCACCTTTACCTCATTACTAAATGAAACATTCTCAAATTTCAGACAAATTCCTTCAGAACCTTACTATGGTGGAATGATGTGGCCTACATTTTTTTATTATTATTATTATTATTTATTTATTTTTTCGAATAAATTTCCATCAATTTCTCCATTAGAATAAGATAAAAAAGGATTGGCACATACCTCTCCAATGTAACTGTACAATTTGTAAATTTGTATTTGTCCACTCTAATATTGTTGCTAATCCCCTTGGGGCAGGAAAGCCTACACCAAGCCCAAGAGACCTTGCCACACAAGTAAATCACTCATGTCATACTGCTCAGTCGACAGGTGTCTCAGGGAGATGCCTCTAAAATTTAGTAGGTGAGCAGGAGAAGCAGGGAGGGAACAGGCATACGAGAGGAAGGTCCTTTCCCCCATTGAATTTCATGCATCTAAGATGCCTGCTTCTGAATATGGCCATGGTCATTGGAAGAGATCTAGTTCTTTTACTCTGGAGTGATAGGCCTGATTGCTCGGCAGTATACCAATGGTGAGCAGGAGAAATTTTCCACACCATGTACATTTTATTTTTGCAGTGGGAATTTATTTCAGTTGGGCTTGAATCAGTAGAAGTGGGGGTAGGGAGATCACAAACTTTCCTTGCAAGATCATCAGCTATTTCATTACCATACACCCCAACATAGGATGGTATCCACTAGAGATATACTGATTTACGCTGTTCAAGCTCAAAACATTTGGATATGATATTCTGATTGGTCTTATCCATGATCTTAGGCCAGTTTTTAAGGTACTGAATGGAGCTTCTACTGTCTGTCAGGATCCATATGATGTCACCAGTCGAACAGACAGCATAACCAAGTGCTTTGCTGATGGCGATAAGTTCCGATCTGAAGACGGAGCAATGATCAGAGTTTCTAATGCTGCATCTGATATCTTTTTTAGGGGTTTTACTATCTACTCCTCGCTCTACCCTTATCTGATCTACTTCCATCTGTATATATCACAAAGGCCTGGGCAGGAATATCATTTATGATTTCAAGAGCCATTTGCCTGAAGAGTTCATGGTAATAGTTGCCCTTGACAATATTAGTCGACAATTCGTCACTGATGTTAACACGATTAAATAAAGTATCTAGAGCATTATGGCTAAAAGGTATAGATGTTTCAACATTAAAATTGATAAAATTCGAATTCCACACATAACTAAGTAAGACTCTAACATAATTACAGCTATCAGCCATTGTTCATGATTCAGTTGAAACAAACTGGTTCATAAAACTAGGTAGACCCTGACACCATAAGTATATGAATTGTATAGCTGTATGTATTGAAAGGAATGCATGATCTAACAATCTATATTTATATTTGGACCCATTTTCCTTCTAGACATGAATAAAGGTTACACAGTCACTTCAGCTTCAAAGCACATTTTAATTTAATAAGTTGATTATTCAAATGCAATCTTTCTTTCTGGAGAATATCTTTTTCTTAAATAAATGGGGTAGCCATTTTTTCATCTCTTGGCAAATACATTCTTATAAAAAAGATAGAGGGGAACTAACTAGATAACAGTATGGTTATATAAGCAATGGTTATAAAAACAATTATAGACAAAATCAAGCCAAACCAACAATATCTGGTGTTGAGAAAAAGCATCAAAACAAACAAAAAAAAACAAAAAAAAGACCACCTGGTAGTGCTTTAACAGAAAAATAGAGCTCATTTTATCTTCATTTCAAGTAATTATTGGCTGTTTTTTGTTAACACATTTCAGAGCAATAGAGCTACCTGAATTTTCAACTATGATTGATGATTGAAGAAAAAATGGGGTTTTCCTATTCTGAATTACTATTTGTAAAAAAGTTAAATTTAGAATTTATGATCTAAAATCAAAAAAGCTAACAACTTTCAAAGAAAGAAAACTTCACTACAAGAAGAGATTTACCTTTAGTTCAAATCTGATAGTTACAGATGTTAACACAAATATCCAAAGCAAAATGTGCTTTGCTAGCTCAAAAACTAACCAATTTTATTTGCAATTGAAAGCATTCATAGTGCAAAAGTTTCTCTTTCATCTATACCAGCACTAAAGAGTTTTGGTTACTAAATCATCTTACACATGAAGCACATCAAGTTAAATTTTTGAAATATCAGACAGACTATAGAAATAGACTACACACAACAAAAATATCAACATATAATTGTTGTGCTATAGCTGAAGCTTAAATCGTACTGGAGCCCACAGGAGCCTGGCTCTGGTACTTCTCAAGTTTTGCAAAAATCTCAAATGAGAGGGTTCTGACACTTCTTTTATGTAACTGAATTAAAATTTTAGGCAAAAAATTCTTTGCATTTTGAAAAATTTATTTTAGCAATAAGTCCGCCTTAAAAATCACTTCTAAATTCTGAATGCATGCCTGTCTACTTTCTTATGATCTAAAATTATGTACAACATGTTAATAAAATCAATATCTAAATTAAGATTAAAACATACAAAGGAAAGAAGATAAAAAAAAACTGCTTTAACAATCATAAATTAATATTCATTAAAAAAATCATTTACTAGTAATTGTAGATATTAGTATAAGTTCGTGATGTGAAAACAGAAGTAGAATTAAGAGATTAAAGAGATAAAGAATGAAAAGATATACCAAGATAGAAAAAAAAACTCCCATCTCTCCTCCCCATCTAACAAGGCTGAGATTATGAGAACAGTGGGGAAAAGACATTCCTCTGCAAGCGACAAGGTGGGGAAAGGTAAAATGGGAAAAACGTCATTTTAGACAAAAAGGTTATGTAACTAAATTTCCTTATAGACTCTGGTACTGTTTCTAGCATTATCATTAATCGCACTTTAACCGTTTTACCTTTTTTCATTGGTATGTTGGAAAAATTATCGTCTTTGTCCTTTAAAAAAGCTTATTAACTATTCATTCAGGTCATGAATTTAGCTAATGCTCAGCTGAGCAATGTTCTTCTATGAAATTGTAATTTCAGCCACAGCCTCAAATAAGATTAGGTCGGATATTTTATTTTAGCATGTAACAATTCATCATTAATTTAATAATTAATTTGATTTTTTAATTACTCAATATTTTAATTGATAATTATTTTATTTATTTTATTAATCACTACTTTAATCCTTAATTAATTTATTACTTTAATTATGTAATATTTTAATTAGCGATTATTTTATTACTTTAATTATTTTCTTATTCTAATATTTTTTTCCCTTCATTTTTTCCTGATGTCCTTTCACAGAACTCTGGCACTTCTAATCTTAGAAATTAAGCCCTGGTGACAACCCATACATTTACTGCGATAACAGAATTGTTATGCAAGTAGAACTTGTTGTTATACATAGATTTTTCTACTACTCGTCCTTTCCCTTCCGTAAATTAAGCACAGTCATCTACTTTTCAATTTATATCCTAACCTTCTTATTTTCCCAATTCTATGTATTCTTTCTCACTGTCCTGCATTCTGTAAACAAGATACAAAAAGATCTACAGTAGCAAAGAATATTTTGCTTTTCATCTCTTTAATCATGTAGCATTTATAGAATGGTTATTACTAGATCATTCTTCAATTTATATAACAAGTTTATTAAAGTAGTAAAGAATATAATCTTACAAAAAGATAAATTAACCCATGTTTGCCTCAAGCAGAACTTATACAGTGTTGTCTTTTATATAATATATATCAAAGGATTATCTAAATTTAAAATTTAGAATTGTTTTTTATATTTAAAAAAATCAAGCTTTACATCAAGTCCAGAAATGAAAACTACAGCTTCTATTGTTCCTAGTTTGCATGTTACTAGTTCTTTAAAAACTACTGTGGATTTTAATTTCAACTTTAGGTATATTTCAGTGCAATAATTCTGGACTTTTATATATAGAATTCTGCCCTTTTTTAGTTTGTCTGTTACATATTTTTACATTATTTATTGTTTGGAATGTATAAAAATGGTTTAAGCTCACTATATTAAATATATGTGCAAACTGTTTTTTTCTGCTATACAAACATTTCATTTTGGGCAATGGAAAAGGTGGTAGGTAACCTTCACTTCAGTAATTTTCATTAATAATGTGCAACTAATATTACAAAACCATTAATTCTTTAAATAGAAATGAAAAACATTAAGGCATATATGTTATTTAGAAGAAGAATCTTACTCATTTAAGGTTTACAAGGAATTAGGGTGTATACAACACCCTAATTACAGCACCCTAACAAATCAAAAGATTAAAAGATAATAATGAAATACAAACATCGGTACAACTCTGATATACGCCCTAATTTCACCAAATGTGGCGATATGTCTTTCGTGCTGGTTTTTGGCACGATTGTATGTTGTATGGCAACCCTGTTAACGTTGAAAAAGCTTTCGCTGGAGCTCGTTGGTTCGCGTCTGTGTCTCAGAATATAAAATGGTGGCAGTTGTTGAAGTTCGGCAAAAGGAAATATCATTACGGCCATCCTGTTCAGAGACAGTGGGTATTTGGAGGGTGGAAAGAGGGTCTGGGAAATTATTTTTAGTGGCTGTGCATGCTAGAAATAGGAATTTGTGAACCATAGTATGAATTTTCTAGATAGTGATTACATCGCGGCATTAATTCATGGTAAGTGCATTTTACTTTATTCTTGTTCTTATTTTGTAAAATGTTATGTTCATTGACTTTTTAGTATGAATTTCTGTCGTTATTGTTGTTTATTAATTGTTTGGAATTTATTTTAGTTTATTTTGTTGATTAGTGCAATTCGTAGATGTTTTTAAAAAATGAAACAGAATGCTGTGTACATGGTATTCTTTAAAATTTATTGTTATGTTAATTTATTAAAGCGAGGTGTGCGTAGTTCGTAGATTCGTTCGTTGCCTAGATTTTGCCATTCGTAGATGTTTTATAAGTTAAAACATATTGCTGTGTACATGGATTCTTGTCAAATATTTTTGGTTAGAAATTTTACGTGTTTGCTATCTAAATTTTTTGTTTTTGTTTCGGATTCTTAGCTTAAATTATGTGTTCAAAATGTAGTTTTTGCATCTACGAAAACCACGTTTTTAGAGACATTTTAGTCTTAAAGTTCGAAATGTAGACAAAAAATTTAGGTAGTAATATGGCAGCGTGGAGTTTCTTGCCAAAAATATTTGGCGACTTGAGGGCGCATATCAGAGTAGTTCCATGTTTTTGTTTTTGCTACCTAAATTTTTTGTTTTTGTTTTGGATTTTTAGCTTAAATTGTATGTTCAAAACATGGTTTTGCATGTGCGAAAACCGCGTTTTTGAAGACATTTTAGGCTTAAAGTTCAAAATGTAGACAAAAAATTTAGATAGTAATATGGCAGCGTGGATTGGCGAGAAATTTGGCCACTTGAGGGCGCACATCAGAGTAGTTCCCAAACTTCATAAATATAGCAATACTTCTTTGTTGTTCTGACCCTATTTCATAACAGAGCAAAGATTATCAATAAATCACCAACATATACTGCAAACTGTCACCAAACAAATAGCAGTCCTAACCAGGTTCACTGCTCATCACGTGAAGAAGTGCGAGAGAGGCATATGTTACTTTTGTAATTCAATCATATTTTCTGTCTTTTTTCCAAAACATTTTTTAAAATTTTGATTTACCAAGGAGTGAGAGAGATGCTATATCATTCTTCTAAGAAAAAAATCATTTTATCCTCCACTCAAATATGTAAAGATAGTCATGAAATAAAAGGAGCTGTAATACTAAAGAAGCAAAATTATAAGTGATCATGGTTAAGACAAATGGTTAGGAAGGCAAAAATTCACATTACATGAAGTTGCACCTCTGAAACAACTGAATTTTACAGATTAAAATTTCTGTGCAATTTTCAGATGTCTTTTACTTTACACAAAAACAGATCACTGTGTATAACAATCTGCACAATGCAAATTTATTTCAAGATATTATATGATATTATATAATATATTATATGATATTTGTTTCAAGCAAAAACAGATCAGTGTGTACATGGGGAGAACAACAACACAAAATAAAATTACATACAGATTTCTTGAAAAAGATAGATGTTTTATTATGAATGTTTTTTGCTTTTTTAATTTTATTGATTGATTAATTTTATTGCTCTTTTATAGAATTCTTTGTGCACCATCATTTTCAAAATAGCTCTTGCCTTTCATGCATTAGTTTAGCAAAAAATTAGTTTCAACTCATTAGCAGCTTTTTGGAGGACAGGAGAGTGCAAATAATCAGAATGTAACCCCCCCTTTTTGTTTCTTTCATGTAATTAACGGTTGTACTGATGTATGTCTTTAAGAAATAGCCCTACCTATCCAGCAAAGTAAGACCAATATGATAAAGTTTTCTTATTAACAGAGTATATAAATCTATAGTATACAATACTTATATTAAACAATAGGAAAAGTAACAAAGAAAAGTGTTCTTACCAATGCATCTAACTAAAACTTTAAATTGAACAGTGCAAGATCCTCTACCACCGGATTTTGTTGTCACTATAACATCCCCATACTGTGGCACTCTAACAGCTCCACATCTGGCAACAATTTTACTTGGAGAATGCCATTCTGCATACATTAAACATTCTACACCACATATTGTAAGACCTATGCAAATTAACAAAATGTAAAGAACATACCCAGACATAAAAAAATGAAAACTAGAGCTAGATAGCAGATACAATAGTAAATTTTTAAAAAATCCTTAAAAGTACAAAATAATTAACCCATTAGGAAATAAGTATTTAAATTCAAATGACAAAAAGGTACTTTTCTGTTATCGGGACCAGACTCAGAAATGGATGTATGTATGTTTGTATATGTGTGTGCACACACACGTACATACATGCCTATATATATATGTATGCTTGTGTATATACATTCATACATGAACACATTACTAATGCCATACATACATATCTGAATCCGGCCCTGGGAACAGAAGAATACCAATAAAAGTTCATAAAAAATTTCTAATAAAATAAGGTGATGGGGGTTAACATTAGACATAATACCGTTTCTTTTAGTATTTCAAAACTTTTCTACATATGTAGAGACTCTTCAGTTTTGAAGCTAGAAACATTAAAATTCAACAAGGCTTTCAGTTTAAGCCAAAAACTGCTAGTCAGATGTGCTACCAGTTATACCTTGAGTGCCTGTATGGGATAAGGTGATAATTTCTCATATCCTTCTCCACTTAAAAAATGGCTGGAAAGAAGATGGGATGCAGTTAGCTAAATTCAGGTGACTTATAATTCCACCCCATTTTAGTTTGCATGTCTTTACAGACATTTGATTTTCACAGCCAGAAACATAAAAAATCAACTATGCCCTCACATTTCCCAACTGCCAGTCAGGCCCATTACCATTTTATTCCACACTCCACAACAGCATACACAAGGATAGGTAATAATTCCACATATTCTTCCCCATTTTGAGGAGAGGAATGAGATCCAGTTGGCCAAATCCAAGCAGTTGCAAACTATCATCCACTACATTTTAATTGATTGTCATTGTAGACATATTAGTTTTTTCAGAGAAAGCAGCATGAGAAATCAACTATATCCTTGACAGAATTCAAATCATGGGCTAAGTCCTGTCAAGGGATTTATTGCTAGCCAGACATATTGTTGGTTACACCATGAAATCATGCATCGGAGAGGTGATAATTCTTTACATATACACTTTTAATTTACTAAAGGGTATTTATCTTAATTTTTACATCCCTTTTATAGCATGATTGATAATTTCTTTCCATTAAATAAATGTATGCAGATGCATTTATGAAAGCATAAGTATCACCCACTTAGCAAATCTCGCTGAGAAGTTCCAAGGTTTTCTCCTCGAATAGTTATTTTGGTTCCTGGTTCTCCTTCTTTTGGAGAAAGACCAGTTACTTTGGGTGGTTCCATGATATTTTACAAAACATACACAAACTCTGTTTCACCTGTTCTGTAAGAAAAAATTGCATACATAAAGACATATTAATAAAAAGACACATAAATTTTACTATTGCTGTGACATTTCTCACAGATGTATCATTAAGTAGTTCTTATTGTAATTTTATTTTTAATTACAATATATTTTACACTGATAATAAGAATAAAAGGTATTCATACAAGCTGCTTATTTTATTAAACACAAAAGTACCTAATTAAGACACAATAACACGCCAAACAAATACTAATTCAGAAGTCAAACAACAAAAATCAGCGCTATATTTTCAAATTTTTCACAGGACTAGTTTCGATGGTTTTACTGGTTTGGTAAAACCATTGAAACTAGTCCTGTGAAAATTTTGAAAATATAATGCTGATTTTTGTTGTTTGACTTCTGATTTAACAAAAGTGCCTACTAATAGTGATACCCTGGCACACTGGAGCCAGTATCTTTACAAAAGTCAAGGTCCGTAGAAAGAACAGGTTAGCTCACTTGGAGTAAACAAACGAAAAGCCAGTGACTCGTTCGGCTGTGACGTCACTGAAGTTCGCTGTAGCATCTCCTAATAGTAGTTTCGTATTTCCTTTTGAAATATTTTCTGTTTTTCATCGGAAAAGTAAAAATTCTAATATTTGGAGTTGAAACTTAACTACCTAAAATATTGTTTACTGTATAGAATAAGTTTTAATTACGAAAAGTTCCCTCAGTAATTTATTGTTTCACCAAAAATCTTCCAAACTTCCTTACAGAATTTGCTATTCAAGATTCAGCTGTTTATACCGTTACTCATTTTAGCTTCAACAGACTGAAAACCCACATTTCACAAGAACTGGAAAATATGTAGTGTAGTCAGAGCTTAAATTGTGCCGGCTCCGGTACTTTTCAGTTCATGGGATAAATGATAATTCTAGCCGAAGCGCATCGGAGCCCTACATAAGAAGGCTCCGGCACTTCTTTTATGTAATTAACGGAACTACAATTTCAGTAGAAATTTAATCTCAAAAATTTTATTTTTAGCAGCAATAAAATTATATTAAAAATCGCTTATTAAATGTTAATTTACCTCTTTACATTTTATTGAATTATTTTAATAAATAATAATCAATTATTAATTAATGGTTAGATAATAATTAATAAATATTAATTGCTAATATTAATTAAATAATTATTTATTAATTTGATAATAATTAACTATTTAATTTTTAAATGATAAATGATTTTAATAGTCATTTTATTTATTTATTTACTCTTGTTCCTCTTTACTAACGGTCTTCCATAGGGTTCCGGCACTTCTAATTTTAGAAATTAAGCCCTGAGTGTAGCGATATAGAAGAAATTCAAATTAAGAATATTTATTCTATAAAGCTGTACAAACTTGTCCCTAATGTTTGGAATCTAATTTGGCTGAAATTTAAATTAATTTTTTGCTAAAGCCTACTTTCGGTCCAATTGTTTCTGCAGTACTTGCTTCATTTAGAAATCTTAGTTTAATAGTCATTTTATTTATTTATTTACTCTTGTTCCTCTTTACTAACGGTCTTTCATAGGGTTCCGGCACTTCTAATTTTAGAAATTAAGCCCTGAATGTAGCGGTATAGAAGAAATTCAAATTAAGAATATTTATTCTATAAAGCTGTACAAACTTGTCCCTAATGTTTGGAATCTAATTTGGCTGAAATTTAAATTAATTTTTTGCTAAAGCCTACTTTCGGTCCAATTGTTTCTGCAGTACTTGTTTCATTTAGAAATCTTAGTTTACTTGTGGCTTTTTTTTTTTTTTTTTTTTTTTTCAGATGAACTCGCATGAGCTTTTCCTGTAATATATGATTAATTTTAATAGATTAAAAAAGAAATTGCATAAAATTATAAGTCGCTAGATTCTAAAACTTGTTTGTAATTTCTTGATGTAAAGCAGCAACAAGAAACATAAACAAATGAACTATTCAAGCTATAACTGAAAGGAAGTGTAATACTTAATCAGCAGACTCTTTAAAATCAGCAGCTGCATTATGTAATTCTATATAAAAATTGAGACTTAATTTTAATTTAAATCTTAATTCTTTGAATTTTACTTTTTAGCAAAAATAAAAAATAAAAATTTCCAAAAGTATTCAGATAGAAGATGTTAACTTTTTATATAAAAAATGAGTAAAAGATATTAAAAGAATAGTTGCATATCCTCTATTATGTTTTGTTATTAATATTGTATATTTAGAATTTTATCTTTTAGGTTTCTATATTTATTTCACTTATGTATTGTTTAATTTATAAAATAATAACGAAATGAAACATGTAGTCATTTTCTGGATTGTCATCCTCATTTTTTATTTCAGAGAAGTAAATCCTAGATATTAATAGGTGGTGTGGTGTGTGTGATTATGGCAAAGCCTCGAGGGCTATGCGCCTGAAGGGAGGGATGCCTTCGTGGAGGACTTTCTAAGGGAAACTGGCTCGTATACTCGTTACACATGGGGAAAACCACGAAAACGCCCATGCAGCCAGCCCGTTCGCGGGATTCGAACCTCGGACCGAACTACCAGTGTTTAGCGACTTTACCGCTCGGCCGCTGGTGGGCAGATATTAATAGGACTGAATGCTGTATGTGTTTGTTTTGGTATCAAAAAAGAAATATGTTTATATAATAACTTAAATATTACATTTCATTTAGCATATTCAGTTTAACCATTCTATGAATAAAAAAAAATTAGAGTTATCAGTTTAGTTGTGGAAAAATATTATTCATACACAGATAAATGCATTTAACAACAACATTATGCAGTTTATCATTATTACCAAAGTCCAACATTATGCAGTTTAACATTATGCAGTTATCTTAACGTCATTTGACTGTCATCGTACTTTCTGTGAACACATGGAAAAAGGGTGGATGTTTATTTAATATGATGACCTGTGTACAATATCCCCACAGACATAATGATTACATTCGTAGATACTAGCAAAATATAATTCTGCAGGTAAATTTATATAATTAAATGCAAAATTCTTCAAATCAAAGTCAAAATTGGTACTAAATTTTAAACACTACATTCAACAAAATCTTAGTAAATATGGATCTTAATTTTATAAATGAAATTTTGTATGAAATATATCATGGTGCACTGTATAGTAATGGAATGCAAATTTTAAAACTATAATAAATAAAATATTTGCTTAAGTTATATTATTCATTCATAATACAAATCATAACAAATTATAAGTACAGATAGAAAATGAAATTTTATATTTTACAAGAATTTTAGCATATTTGTTTTTTAAACGTTTCTATATTCTTAAATCATACATTTCCTAAATTTTGATTGCATTTAAATGCATGCTGTGTATTACTCTGTTTTCAAATAATATGAAAGAAAAAAGCCTTAATAATTAGAAAATTAATATTGCTGAAGGAACTGCTTTACTATCTTTGCAAAATTACTGTAACTAAATTATCCAGAACTGATAGCCTTAAGTATAATAATACAACTTAATTTGCTCGCCAAATGAATTGTGGACTTCTAATATGTTGCTTTCTGTACTCTGCGGTGTTGTTAGTCCTTCTTATTGCTTACATGTACCCCCCGTGTATTAATGATATTGTATTTCTGGCATGTACCATATTAACAGTACAATAGGCTCAAATTCTAAGTAATTGACAAGGCCCATCAGCTGAACACTGGTGGTTTGACTTCAATTCCTGGAGAAAAGGCTGGTTGCATGGCCATTTTTCCATGTGTAAAACGAGTTAATTAATGCAGTGAGCTGCATACACATAATTTAAAACTATTTAAACATATTTATATGCATCTGTCACAATTCACAACAATATTCAAAACCGTTGGCATTTAAATACACCTAATAAAATGCATAGAAGTTTCTATATATATTAATGAATAAATTAATTTAAGTAACCCGAAAATTCAAAATAACTTGCATCAAATCAAAAAAACACTATAAGTTTCTATACCTATGAAATAATACATTTTGCTGATTATTTTTTATTTTGCCTGCATTATTGGTGCATAATGCAATCGCGCAGTGCGTACCACCATTATACTACATAAATTTAATTATATTTGAGAGAAAAAAAAAAATGAATGAGTTTCTACAGTCGCGCACAAGCTCACATTCAGCTTAAATCAATGCAAAAATCTATGTTGATCTGAGGAGAGAAAACTTCAGTGACATCACAGCCAATAGACAGCGAGAACGCATTTTCGTTTGTTTACCCCAAGAACTTATCTTGATGTATGTGCCAGCATCTTTACTTTGATATACATGAAGGTTTTGGTTCCAGAAACACTGGTTGGTCTGCATAAAATTCTCAGCATCTTTATGAAGACATATTTATGACAGTATCCCTAATAATACTTGAATCATTTTAATGCAGCACAAACTCAAAGATCCGGAATAGATGGAGCTTTGGTTATTCTGGATTTTAGATCATCACTTTAGTAAAATGGGTACTCTTCTGGGTACTTTTCCGTTTCGCCGGCAAATCTCGCCAAGCAGACTTTATTGGTGACAACATACAGCATACACATAAAAAATGTTAACAAATGTTAGGTCTAAGAATTTATTTTGAAGGCATAAACATTTTAATATCATTTAAAATTTTGTAAAAAGCCAATAAATAAAGACAATAAATTTGTAAAAAGACATTAATTTAAGAATTTACTATACTTTCATGGTTCAACATCCTGATTCGCCAGTTCATATCACGTGACCCCAAGTAATCTCATCTCACATAAACTACGCTACAAAAAGCTAAGGCTGATCTTTGGAATATGGTAACTGGTAGTTTGGCGACATTTTGGAGGCGATAAAGGTTATTACCTAGGACTTTGGTAATAATGTGAGAGGTACTCAGTTCTGATTACGCATTATTTTGTGTAAGGGAAATGAGAGATCATCAGATATGTCATGTGACATTAATGGACGAATTACAGTTCTTTAATCGGAAAAGGGGGGAAATCTGAAAATTTTGTATTTAGCTTTATTCTGTGTTGTGTGAA